TATCAATAACCTCAGATATGCAGATGACACCACCCTTATGGCCGAAAGTGAAGAGGAACTAAAAAGCCTCTTGATGAAAGTGAATGAGGAGAGTGAAAAAGTTGGCTTAAAGCTCAACATTCAGAAAACTAAGATCATGGCATCTGATCTCATCACTTCATGGGAAATAGATCGAGAAAGAGTAGAAGCAGTGTCAGACTTTATTTTTTTTGGCTCCAAGATCACTGCAGATGGTGATTGGCAACCATGAAATTAAAAGACCCTTACTCCTTGGAAGGAAAGTTATGACCAACCTGGATAGCATATTTAAAAGCAGAGACATTACTTTGCCAACAAAGGTCCATCTAGTCAAGGCTATGTTTTTTCCAGTAGTCACGTGTGGCTGTGAGAGTTGGACAGTGAAGAAATCTGAGTGCTGAAGAATTGATGCTTTTGAACTGTGGTGTTGGAGAAGAGTCTTGAGAATCCCTTGGACTGCAAGGAGATCCAACCAGTCCATCCTTTATCAGTCCTGGGTGTTCATTGGAAGGACTGATGCTGAAGCTGAAACTCCAATACTTTGGCCTCCTCATGTGAAGAGTTGACTCACTGGAAAATACCCTAATGCTGTGAGGGATTTGGGGCAGGAGGAAAAGGGGACGACAGAGGATGAGATGGCTGGATGGCATCACTGACTTGATGGACATGAATTTGGGTAAACTCTGGGAGTTGGTGATGGACAGGGAGGCCTGGCGTGCTGCGATTCATTGAGTCGCAAAGAGTCAGACACGACTGAGCGACTGAACTGAACTGATAAGTAAGTAGCTTGCACAAAGTCACATACCTTAAAAGCAAGACTGAGATTTGAACCCAGATCCATCTGACAGTCTAGCCCATGCTCTTTTCACCCCTGAGTGCACAGTGCAGCAGTACCTCCTCCAAGTTGCCCAGAGCAGAGTGAGTTAACCTCCCGGTTCCCACTGAGCATTAAGAAGGTAACAATGCCCAGGCCTGCTTATTCCCAAGGCAGCCTGCTTGAGCTCTCATTCAGGGGTCTGTGATGTACTAATGGCAGTTTTCCCTTGTATGTAAAATTTTAAATGAGGGAGGGAAGGAAGAAACCGCAAACATTTTGGTCATGTGCTTTAATTTATATCAAGTGAAATATTTAAGGCTGGAGATGCAGGGATGAAAGCACATGGACTGATTTCATAGTTTAGTGAAAAGAGTGTGAAGAAGAAATAATTGTGAGTTGACACTTGTAATGAGGATTCAAGTGTTTTTTGTCATTCCTGCGGGCCATTTTCTAGAATAAGGAGAGGGTCCTGAACCCATGGTTCTTGCAAATACTAGACTACTGCACCCCTGCAGTTCAGTGGAGCTGTCCGGGGTCCTGAAGAGGGTTTCAGAGCTAGATGCTCTTGACAGAATGGGATTGAGTACAGTGCATGGTGTTGGTGATGAAGTTCCCTTGGAAGGAGTTCAAATAGCCAATAGCCTACCTAAAGACCTTGTGAAACATGAGGAACAGTGATGAAAGGCCTAGAGTGTGAGATTCTTAAGGCCAGGGCCAGTATCTCTCCCATATCTCAAATCCACAGTTTATCACATGGTGGGAACTTAATATATGCTTCTGGAGGAGTGACCCACAGCAAGTATTTAAGAGGGATGTCAAAGTGAGACCTGATTCCAATTTGAGCTCATAAGGAGCACTATGGCCATGGAAGACACTTGGGGTTAGGAGCCCCAGAGCATTGGTTTCATGTCCCAGTTCATCCACTGAGTAGCTTTGGGTCTTGATGACATCACTGTACCATCTTATCCTCTGTTTTCCTGATTTGGAAATCATCATCATCGATGTCACCTCCTACCTTAATGTGCTGTGAGAGTTAAATGGGTGATTGTAGGAAGCACTGCTCTAGGAAGCCTTATTAAGCCCAATACAGAGATCAGTTGTTATTTCTGGCTTTTCTGAATCCCCAGCAGCACCTGGCCCAGGGCCTTCTGCAGAGCAGTGGCTCCCTAAGTATTCATTAGACTGAATGAGAGCAAAAGCTTGGCTTCAGCAGCTTCTGTTGAGAAGGGAAAACTTTGAGTTTGTGACAAGCAATCCCAGAGAGCGGAAAGTGCATCCCATTCTCTCAGTGGAAACAGCATGCAGCATTCCGCATCTGGATGCTGGGAGTCACTGAGGAGGAGTGCATCTTTCATCCTTTCCCCAAGATGAAACAGGTTCTGGTAGTTGTATCAATGTTTGATTGAATGTAATAAAGAAGGGCCAGCTGGGCAGATCAAATGCGAGACATTTCTTGATGCCTCATGAAGACTCACCTCTGCACGGGCTTCCCTTGAAGTGTGCCCTGATCTCACTGGAATAATCCTTATGAGAAAGGGATATTTAAACCTTTAATTACTATAGTTGGTACAGGCCTATGTTCGTTTTAATGGTGTTATTAAGAGAAAAGACCTTAAACCTCAATACAGTTCTATCACTTAATAGTTAGGCAAAATGTGGCAATAATAGCTGTTTGTATGACAGTCACAGACTCGCTTCCCAGGTTCAGGGGGTAAATAATCCCCTGCTTGCCAATGCAGGAGACATAGGAGACACAGGTTCAATCCCCAGGTCGGGAAGATCCTCTGGAGACAGAAATGGCAGCCCACTCCAGCATTCTTGCCTGGGAAATCCCATGGACGGGGAGCTCGCAAGCTGCAGTCCATGAGGCTACAGAGAGCTAGACATGATTGAGTGAACAACAGCAGCAACATTATTACTGAAAACGAGGACACTGAAGTGCAGAGAGGGAGTTGTTGGCCCAAATTCACTGATAAAGTTGGTGATAGGGTCTCAGAGCTGAACGTTTCATTTTCCGATCCACATCTCATGCCATGTTCTAGGCGATGTCATTATGCATGTGAGTATAAACCAGGGTGCTGTCAGGAGATCCGGGTGTCAGGGCCTTTGTACCCATTCCTCACATTGTCCTCACGGCCACTCAGTAGAAGGTATATTATCCTCACGTTGGAGATGAGCTGACTGAGGTTCAAGGATGCCCAGTGTACTTGTCTGAGATCAGGCGGGAGATCCATCGTGAGGGGTTAGAGGGCAGGACTTTAGTTCAGCATGACCTCTTCCTGTGCCAGTATTCCTCGCTCAGTGGAAATTCATCGTCGTTAGACAATTTCATTTATTTATCCAGACAGGCATTTTGGATATTACTGTGGATGGAGGGTCAGATAGCCCAAGCCCGTCCTTGCCCAGCCAGCAAGATACAGCGAGAAAGGCACCAGGCTTAGAGTAAAGACACTTGGGTTCTGGACGCGGTCTTGTGTGTGCTTGATGCGGAGCACCGAGGCCAGGCGTTTGGTCCTCACTCTACTCATCTTTAGAGTGTGAACGATGGTGCCCATGACTTGGTTGTCAGTCACTGTTAATTACATCACATAGGTGCACGTGTTGAAGTGTTATAGATTTGAGGGAATAAGATGTTCTTTTTCTCCCCCCCCCCCCCGACCTCCCAGGTTCCCCATTTGAATGGGGTGGTATTTTCCTATCCAATGAGAGTGTCCAGACAAAGTATATCCTGTGCTGTTCACTGTGTGTTTACCATGATCCATCTCTGTTGTTTTTTTCCCCTTTCTCTTTCTCCTAAAGGGTCTGATGGGTCCAGAAGGCAAGGATGGCCCTCCCGGTTTGCAAGGTCTCCGAGTAAGTAAACTGTTTCTTTCCTGGTGCCCCAGGTCAACCACACGACCCCCTATTTTAGCTGCTCACACAGAGGAGGTAGTGCCAGTCTCCTGAGCTCGAGATGAATACTGGAAGCAGATTGAAGGGTTAGCTGAGTTCATCGACAGTGGCTGAGGATGCGCTGTGTGCTCAGCCTCGAGCTGGCTCCTGGCTCATCTCCTGCAGACGTGTCTGTGGTTTTCCATGAGTCGTGTATATAGAAACTCACATCTCTGTGTGATCAGGGGACACTCAGTCCTGAGAGTACTGACCCAAGCTGGGGGCCAGCCAGGGCCTCCTGAAAGAGGTGATGCTTGAGCTAAGCCTTGAGGAGAGAATAAGAAAAAGTAGCCATGAGATAATAGAGGTCTGCCCGTATATGACTCTCTATATAATTTATATATATAAATACAAGTTTATATTTATAAATATAAATTTATTTTTATAAATTTATAAAATTATATAAAAACACATTTTTGAGCCTCCCTCCCCTCTCATCCCACCCTTTAGGTCATCACGAGCACCAGGCTGGGCTCCTGGTGCTATCAGGGGGCTGTGCTAACAGCTTCCTCCTAGTCTTGAGTGAAGAATCCATATGATTTTTGAATCTCATAACTTCTTACGGTGTTTCATTTAACTTAATATAGCGCCCCTTTTCCTTTTGTCTGGATTGTACACGCCTTACAGGTTTGGCTCCTGTATGTAGCTAGAAGGTGTTGTAGCGCCTGAACTGGCTGCCCACCTTGGTGCCCCCGCCACCGGAGACTCGGGCCGGCCCTCGGCTCTGGGCCCTCAGCTCCCAGCAGGGGGCTTCGCACAGCCTGAACACTCAGCGCCCATTTCCTGACCTCTGGCTCTAATCCTGGAGCGTCACGATTTTTTTTAAAACAATTATTCAAGTCTAGTTGATCTACAATGTTGTGTTAGTTTCTGTTATATAGCAGAGTGACTCAAACATGCACATATATGCGTTCCTTTTTAATATTCTTTTCCATCATGGCTTATCCCAGGCCGTTGGGTATAGGTCCCTGTGCTATACGGCCGGGACTTGTTGTTTATCCGTCCTGTGTGTTTATTAGCAGTTTGCATCTGCTGATCTCAGATGTTTACTCTGCCCCTTCCTCCACCCCTTGGAAACCAAAGTCTGTTCTAAATGTCCATGAGTCTGGTTCGTAGCTGGTTTATTTGTGTCATGTTTTAGATTCCACGTCTAAATGATATGAAGTGGGGCTTGTCCTTCTCTGACTTCCTTCACTCAGCACAATCATCTCTAGGCGTTGTTGCTTTCTTTTTGCAACTGGAGTCACAGGGCAGGGTGGCGAGAGTGTTATAGAGCATGTGCCAGGGGCCCAAAGGAGGGCGCCTGTCTCGCCCTGCATCCGCGGGGGAGCAGGGGGTGATGACCACGCATGTCCTTGGGGACCCTGGCCATGCAGTGTCACTGACTTCAAGTGCTCCATCCCGTGGGCACTGCTCGTTGGCGGCCTTTCCTGTGGACGCTCGGCAGAGACGGTGGCCGATGTCGGTGTGGCTGGGAGGCGGCTTCCTGTTCTGTCGCCTCTGGCTGAGTCAGGGGGGCCTGAGACAGGGTGACAACTCGCTCACAGCCTTATCCCTCCCCTTGCCGCGGGTGACCTGCCTCATCAGCGTCCACTGAAGCGTCGCTCTAAAGAGCTCCTAGGGTCAGCACTCAGGCTGTGATGGGGGAGAGAGGAGACAGAGATGAGCCACAGGGACCTGGGAACTGAGACCCCGAGACTAAAACATGGCTTGAGGAAAGGGATCCAGGCCCTTTACTTTAGAGATTAGCGACAGGCAGACAGCGTAATCCCCGGTGAGGCGAACACATTCATTTTGGACAAAGCTGCTGTTTTTCCACAATGAGGACGTGAAAGGGAGGGGAGGTCGGAGCCGGGCACCCCCTTCCCCATCCGCGTCTCCATACCTGTCTCATCCCGCTGCCCCCTGCCGGCGGAGGAGGGGTGTTGGGCACTCACTGCGTGGCTGGGTTCCTGCCTTAGACGGAGGTAGAGGAGGTTCTCTGTCACACCCTCTCCTTCTCCAGCCGTGTCCACATGTCCGTTCTCCGGGTCTGGGTCTGCATTTCTTCTCTGTGGATAGGTTCATCAGTCCTAGGACACATGGGGAAAGTAGCATGCACGTGTGTACACGATCGTGTGTAAAGGAGAAGACTAGCAGGAAGCTGTTAGCACAGCCCCCTGATAGCACCAGGAGCCCAGCCTGGTGCTCGTGACGACCTAAAGGGTGGGATGAGAGGGGAGGGGGACTCAAAAATGTGTTTTTATATAATTTTATAAATTTATAAAAATAAATTTATATTTATAAATATAAACTTGTATTTATATATATAAATTATATAGAGAGTCATGAATGATCCGCATTAATGTACAGCAGAGACCACTGCAATGTTTTAAGGCAATTATCCTCCATTTAAAAGACAAAGAAATAAAGATTGGCAATTAGAGCAGACTGTTAAAAACAGTGATGAATGCAAAGATCAAGTGTACTTAGAGACTTTTCTCTTTTTTGTGAATCTGGACAGATATGCTCTTTTAAATGTCATGTTTTTTAAGTTAGCAGACCTTGATATTTTAATAAAGAATACTATGCTGTCAGAAAAAGAAAAAGGAGGTGCTCAAGCCTGTCTGAGGTTCTGATTTCCTCGTGCTCATCAGAACCAGGAACTGGGGAGAGGGTGGTCAGGGGAGCGCTCTTAGCTGGAGCTGGCAGCGCTGCAGAGCCTCTGAGCCCAGAACGTTCCGGAGTGGAGGCGGCCTGGCTCCAGGCCACTGAGGCAGCTGGACACACAGGCGCTTCCACGAGGCTAAGGTTTTCCCAAGAATGTTCTCTTGTGCCCTAATCATCCTCCCCAGATAGACATCCTGTCACTCTCACACCAGCCTATTTTCATTTGCTGTAGACAACTTGTATTTTTCTTATTTGAGAATCCGTTTATTTTTGTTTTTCTTCACTAAAATATAAGTCTGTGAGAACATTATTTTTGTGTTTGTAGCACTTAGAGGAATGCCTCACATTTATAAATATATATATATATATGTACATGAAAATAAAAGCATCTATAAGTGTGTAAAATATGCCTAAATGTATAATGTCATTGTAAGATGAAATTTATAGATGCTTGCCCCTTGGAAAGAAAGCTATGACAAACCTAGACCACATATTAAAAAGCAGAGACATCACCTTGCCAACAAAGGTCCATTTAGTCAAAGCTAAGATTTTTTCAGTAGTCATGTATGGATGTGAGAGTTAGACTATAAAGAAAGCTGAGCATTAAAGAATTGATGCTTTTGAACTGTGCTGCTGGAGAAGACTCTTGAGAGTCCCTTGGACTGCAAGGAGATCCAGCCAGTCAGTCCTAAAGGAAATCAATCCTGAATATCTGTTGAGAGGACTGATACCGAAGTTGAAGCTCCAACACTTTGGCCACCTGATGTGAAGAGCCACCTTGTTTGAAAAGACTCTGATTCTGGAAAAGTGTGAGGGCAGGAGAAGGGGGTGGCAGAGGATCAGGTGGTTGGATGGCATCACCGATGCAATGGGCATGAACCTGAGCAAACTCTGGGAGATAGTGGAGGACAGGGGATCCTGACAGTTTGCAGTTCATGGGGTCACAAAGAGTCGGACACGATGTAGCAACTCAACAGCAGCATAATGTCACTAGTGAGCATCAGATAGAATCAGGGTTGCAAGAGTGAAAGGCTTATGGATCAGGCATGAGTGCTGCAGTTGGGCAGCAGACACACCTAGGTGGTGTTGGCAGGACAGGACCCAGGACTAGCCATCTGGTCACCTGGGTTCTGACCTTCCACAGAGAATTCCAGCTCTTTCTTTATCCCTTTTACCACCTTTACCCATTTCACCCACCACCCTCTCCTCTGACAACCACCAATCTGTTCTCTGTACCTGTGAGTTCAATTTTGTTTTAGATTCCATATTATAGGTGAGATCGTAAGGTACTTGTCTTTTTCTGTCTGATGTATTTCACTTGGCATAGTGCCCTCAAGATTCATCCGTGTTGTTGCAAATAGCATGGTTTCCGTCTTTTTATGATACTATTCTATTGCATGTGTAATACTATGATACTATTCTTTATCCATTGTTACATCCTCTGGCACATGGGGACCTTCCATGTCTTGTCCGCTGTAAATAATGCTGCATTGAACATGAGGGTGCATATGTCTTTTCAAGTTAGTTTTTCATTCCTTTGGATAAATACTCAGAATTGAGGTTGCTGGATCTTCTTCTTCTTCTTTTTTTTTTAGCAACCTTCATATTGTTTTCCACAGAGGCTGCACCGATCTTCATTCCCACCAGCAGTGGGCTTCCCTTTTCTCCACACCCTCACCAGCACTTTTGTTCTTTATCTTTTTGGTAATAGTCATTCTAACACATGTGACGTCACATCTAAATTGTGGTCTTGATTTACGTCTCCCTGATGGTTGGGGATGTTGAGCGCCTTTCCATGTACCCATTAGTCATCTGTGTGTCTAGAATGTCCAGTTTTAAAGAAGAAAACTTGGTTCCTTCTGTACCTTTTACTTGGCTTGTATCTTGCTCTGTGGTCCTAGCCCCATCTGAAATAGCCTAGGTATCTTCTTTCCCCTTTGGATAAAAACAAGGTGGTGGGGGTGGGAAGATTTACTTAAGAGAATTCCATGTTGCCAGGCATTTAAACAATGTCTAATTTGAAATGTCTGAACTGGAGATTCATCATGGTGGAGAGAGTCTTTGAGATTGATGGTGAGAAATTTAATGTCCAGAAATATTAAATGTCCTCCTTGCTCAGGTCCCTCAGGGCTCCTCCCACAAGCTGGGGACAGTCTCTTTGGTTCCTCTGATCATTTTATCAGTATTTTCTGGCTTCTTTCCTCTCTTACCAAGAGGTGAGACCTGAAGAAGTGATACTATCAAGTGTTATGCTCTCTTTCTTACTAGAGATGGAGTGATCCCCAAGTGTCTTATGGTGGGCCTGATTGTGTCAGTTGCTTTAAAAACAATTTTAAAAACAGAATCTATCCATACATGTGTATAACTCTAGTATAAGATAGGAAGGAGGTAACATTGGTTGAGTCATTGCATCGCAGGCATTTAGCTGTTTGTTCATTTGTTGTTTGAACACATGATTTGCACTTAATTCTCACAAGGATCCTATGAGGTCTGGCAGCTTCAATCCATTCTGCAAATGAGGACTTGAAGGTGTAGGTCAGATTATGCAGCAGCACACAGATTACAAACGAGGAGGCAGGGATTAGAACTCAGGGCATCCTGGATCCTACTGTTCCTGCCTTTGCTTTAGGATGGGGTGTGTATGTGTGTGTGTCCACAGACACACCAGAATTCTAAGCTGGACATTAACAGGCTTTTCAGTGGAAGCTTTGGAGAGATGTAGGACCTCTTAGTGGACTTCCCTGGTGGCTCAGATGGTAAGGAATTTGCCTGCAATGCAGGATACCCAGGTTCGATCTCTGGGTGGGAAAGATCCCCTAGAGAAGGGAATGGCAACCCACTGCAGTATTCTTGCCTGGAGAATTCCATGGATGGAGAAGCCTAGCAGGCTGCAGTCCATGGGGTCACAGAACTCTTAGTAGCTGATAGCACCTGGACCTCTTAGTAGTTGGAAGCACCTGTCCCGGCGGATGCACTGAGCACCCGTCACTTGCATCTCTGACTGCTGCCCTTGGAGCCAACCGTCTCATGTAGCTGAAAGTAGTCAGGCCCATCAGCTCCAATTTCTGGTAGATCTAAGAGAGAGAAGCATGAGAAATCTTTTGTCGGTGGCAACCTGAGTTGAATTTGTTTTAGTTTTCAATTTTTAAAGCCTTTTTTCTTGCCTTTCCCTGACCTGTTACCAGATGGTAACAGCATTGTTTGGATCACAGGCTACTGTTTGATTCCTGTCATGGCACAGAGCCAGGTTTATTTCAGGACACTCTAGGTTTTCCCTGAGCACCTGGACTCAGCTCTCACCCATAGAAAATAATCATGTTTGACATTTGGAGGCATGGAGAGCAGGAACGGAGCAGAAGGACCACATGGCTCAGATTAGAATCACTTGCACAAGCAATCTTTCTATCTGATAATGGTCCCACACGTGGCCGTGTTAACTCATCCTGCCTGGGAAGGAGATGCTCTTTTCAATTTATAGACTTCTCTCTTCTACAGGCAGACAGGTGGCCTTGGAAATAGTGGTCTTGCTCAGCATCCAGACATCCAGAATAGCTTGAGAACTCTGCCCTCCTTGATAAACCACAGACATTTATCCAAACAATGTGTCGGGTGGCAATTTAAAAGAGAAGAAAAAATGACAGGGAACAGGCCTATTGTGAATGAATGGTTCTTTATTGATGCATAGCTTGCACTGGCCAGCACTTCTGAAATCCCCACACCCAAGTATAGGTCCAGAATGCAGAGGACACATAGCTGCTGCTACATCCACCACGACTAGTGCTGCTGCCTCCACCAGTGACTTTACCATCAGCACCAATAACAGTATCATCACCACCACCAGTACCATCAACACTAATAACAGTATCATCGCCACCACCATTACCATCAGCACCAATACCATTATCATCATTGCTACCACCAGTACCATCAGCACCAATAACAGTATCAGCACCACCACCATCAGTAATATCAACACTAATAATAGTATCAGCACCACCACCACCAGTACCATCAGCACCAATAACAGTATCAGCACCACCACCACCAGTACCATCAGCACCAATAACAGTATCAGCACCACCACCACCATTTCCAGCACCACCACCATCAGCATTATCACCATGATCACCACCACCATCATCCCCACCATCAACACCATCATTATCATATTCACCACCACCACCATCACCCCCACTATCATCACCACCATCATTCCCACCATCACCACCATCATCACCTCTGCCACGACCACCCGTATCACCTCTGCCATCAACACCATCATCAGCATATTCACCACCATTGCAGTCACTGCTGCCATCACGACCACCATCATCACCACCACCTCCACCATCACCACTAGGTACTTCTTAATGTCAGATCCTGTGCTGCACACTTTGTGGACATTATCTTATTTAATCTTTGCAGCGTTCTTCACAGGTAGTGGTTTTGAAGCCAGATCTGCTTGACATGTGGTCTCTCACGCACTTAAGGACTCAAAAGGGCCAGAATTCTGCTATTAGCATTTCTTCTTCAGTCACCATCACCTTCCTTCTCATCCTCATAACTATCTATTACATTTGCAAGATGCTCTTTTATGCTTTTTAAATCATTTTCTCAAATATTGAATTATTTCTTCTACTATTGTCTTTTCACATAATTACAATGATTATAATTTTCCACATGAAGAAACTAAGACTCAGCAAGTTAAATGGCTTGCCTGTCCTCATCTACGTTAGGTTTAGAACTCTTTCTTACAATATTGCAGAGGAAGGGGCTTGGGAAAAGAAAAGATCAAAGCCCTCTTTGATCACAGTGAGTGACCAAGTCCTCATAGTCACTTACTTAGAGCTCCATGCCCCACCCCTGGCAATTCTAACTCCTGAGTTCTTGAATGACACCTGGGAATCTGTCAAATATGTTTTTGCCCTATTTTGCCAATGTTTCTCATTATTGCTGGGACTTCATGAAAGAGGAGAATACTGGATTGGTGTAGGACTTTGACAAGTTGAGATGGAGCGTGGGTCCTACAGACAGAGGTGGCTTGGCAGGCCAAGTCCTTGGAATCTTTGGGGCCAAGCTAAGCAGTGCACGTGAGCTGTGGTTTAGGGCTAGGAGCAGGGCCACCGGACGCCAGACTGAAAGGGCAGGTCAGAGGGCTGGACTGGCACAGTCCGTGGTCGTAAAGACACCTTCCCTCTGGGGGTGGGCAGTGCATGGGGACAAACCCGAGTGTGCAGGTGCAGAGAGAGGGGGGAGCAGTTTAAGGATGAGAGGAGATGCTGATGTCATCCAGCTTCTGGGATCCAACAGACTGTTAGAGACGCTTCGTCGCAATGATCTCATCGTCAGAGCCCTGGGAAGTAAGAGTCACGTGTACAGGCCCCGCACACACAGCCCTGGGGCTGGATCTTAACCTCATCAGGTTCTAGCTGGGTCACCGCTGAGATTTGACTCTGAACCTCAGTGTCCACGCTTCCCAGGGGGACTGAGAGCACCTGCATCCTGGAGCAAGGGGCTTCCTGCAGAGTGGAGACACAGGGAAAATACAGGAAACCCCCAAAGAGGGTTTGACACAAAGCAGGTACCCAGAGCAGGTGCTCGAGGAATGCGGTTCTGATTCAGAGTCATGCCTTCCTTTCATTTCTCGTTGCACTGCTCTGATCTTGTGAGGATGACTATAAGGAAGAAAGCAGACAGGCGGGCCTTCCATCGTCCACGTCCATATATGTTAGGCTACACGCTGTGTGTCATGAGGACTCGCCAGCACACACCTCACCCCTGTCCAGATGGGTAGACTCCGAGGCTTAATGGTCACACCCCCACGGGACGACCAGCCTGGGTCATGCAGAGTAGCACGGATCCTAACGGCAGAAGCGCAGAAATGGCCCACGTGACGTGCCTGCCCAGAGTTGAGATGCATCACCTTTTAATCTTCGTGGTGAAAGGTCTGTAGCTGTGAGAAAGAATGGAGCTGCTCCCCACGTGCTGACTCAGAAGGCATCCGGGTTAAATCCTTAAGTGAAATAAAGCAGTTTATCAGCAGATTGAATGTTATGCCATAGTTTCTAAAGAAAAAAGGGATAGAGGGAGAGGATGTGTGTGCCTGTGTGGGCACATTTGCATATGTGCATGTGTGTGTGTGTGTGCACCTGTGCAAAGGTTGCCTAAACAAAATGCCTCTGGAAAGATCAACCAACACCTGGTAGGATTAGTTATTGTCTAGGAAAGGGAATGAGTGGCACAGGGCAGGACAAGGGCATTTTTCTCAGGTAAACCTTGCGGTACTTTTTAAAATGTGGGGCCATGTGTTGCCAAAGTCATCCACGTTGCAGCACTGACATCCAAAGGGGAGGCTTCCTGGCCCCAGACTCCCCCCCCGACCCAACTCTGCCTCCTTGCAGGGTGTCTCGAGGGGGACAGTCTGTTGTCAGGGGTTTCCTCCAGACGTGTCATTAGACGGGCTCTGGGTGTGGGCTGCCTGTTAATCCTGGCTTCTTCTTTTTGTCTTCAGGGAAAGAAAGGTGAGGCGGGTCCTCCTGGAGTCCCTGGCTTGCTGGGGCAGCAGGTAACTACTGTCTTCCAATCCCCTTCTTTAGCCACACTGCTTTCTCTGATTAAGGAAATGACAGGGTAGCAGTTCTCAGGTTGTAATCAGACTCTTTCATGAGTCTGAGCAATACTCATCAGAGCATTAAAAACAATGCCCTCCCTGCCTAACCCCCTCAGGTGCTGGGAGAATGGCTATTCAGTCTCTTGGGGTAGGCCTGGAGGAAGGCAGACCTCCTCCCCTCCCCTCCTCCCCCTCAGCATTCAGACTCCTTCCTGGTGCAGTGTCCTCTGGCCCCAGGCTGGTCCAACTCCCTACTCCGCCGTGGTCTCACGTGTGCCGTCCCTGTGGCCCACCATGGACCCCTCCAGCCACCCCGGCAGGTGGGCAGGCTCAAGGTCACCCTCCCCATTTCACAGACCAGGTGGGGGTGTGACTCCCCGATACACAGACTCGCTGGGGGTCACCTGCTGCTCAGGAGACCCCTCCGCCTATCCCAGGCCACCTGGGCCCTGACCCCGCTCAGTCACCCTTTCCTATAAATTCAGTCACTGTGACGCCCTCCCCCCGACACACACCTCAGTGTAGACAGAACAGGGCACTCAGCACTGGTAGTGGTCACACCTCACTTTGTGGTCTCTTTGCTAATTGCACCGAAGCTCGCCACCGACCCCCAGCCCCAGTCTTCCTGGGATCAGGGTCGGTAAATTCCTGGAAGCACTGGGGGGATCACAGTTAGGGAGGCGGAGGTTAGGAGCTTAGGGTCCCAGCCTCGGCCATTTGCTGGCTGCGGCGTCTTGAGCAAGTCCCTTCTGAACTTTGGCTTTGTCATTTGTTGCAAATGCCAATAAAAACAAAACAGGGTGATGATTTCAGCGGAAGGTGTGGGGCTGTGGCCCAGGTGCCGGGGTCCCAGTGAGGGCACAGTGAGCCCCGGGCGAGGCGCTGTCCCGTCCTCTGGCTCTGTAGCCGCAGCAGGCAGGCGGGCTCGATCCGGCCTTGTCTGCTGGCTCCCCGCTGCAGTCAGGGATCAGCTCTGGCGCCCACTTGTTCCCGGCCACACCTCCTCCACACCCAGCTCTGTGATGGCAGCCACGCTGTCCTTTAACGTCTGGGAGGCACCCCCCAGGGCACGCTGCTGACCACACTTCCAGATGGGCTTTTCCCACTCTATGAGGTGCGTGCAGGGCACCCCGCACGCGAATCTCAGGCTTCATCATTCCCTCGCATGCCAAGCAGGTTGTAACACAGGATAAGGGGCTGTAAAACCAGCCATTATTCATGGTCTTCTAAAGATGCCTCACTCACTGTGACATTTTGATGTTAATAGTGCAAGATAAAGAATGTTTTTGCATTTGTTTTATGACTTTATTTCCTGTGAGCAAAGCTTGTGTATTTCAAAAATTCACCATAAATACGGCTCCATCAAAATGCTTTAAGTTACAGAGGTTTTCCCCTATCACTGTTTTCTTGGATACCCTGAAAAATATATTTCTTTGTTTTGTTTTAAATTTTGTTAGCCCTTTTCCCTTCAACAAAATCTTTACTGAGTGCCAGGCCTCGAGCTGGATGCTGTAGACACAAATAGGATCAGCTTTCCCAGGGGAGGGATTTTGCCAGAAATGGGGCAACCTGATAAACTCAGGGATGTTACTGGTTCAGAACCAGATGGTGTAGAGTGTATGATAGGTACCACCTAGCTCCCTGCATTGGATCACCACCCCATGGATGCAAAGCTGCATTCAAGCCCACCATGCCCATGCCAAGAGCAGTGTTTCCCTGCTGGATCCCTGCCCAGCTCCGTAACTCACTCTCCCTAACTCACCCACACACCCACCTGCCCTGGGCCTGGCCAGTTTTCTCCTGCTTGCCATCCGTATGTTTGTTCGTCAATCATTCAGCAGGTGTTCACCGAACCCCCACTGTGTGCGGGTGCAGCCCTGGGAAGGGGAACCTAGCAGCCTCTGTCCGTGCCTAGAGGAGCCAGATGTGATGGAGGCAAGGAGAGATGGCGAGAGAGGGACGGTCCTCCGAGCTAAGACCTGGGAGAGGGGCAGTCAGGGCTCTGGTTCTGGGGGACAGGTCATCAGCCTCTTGGGCCCAGAGGAGGGTCCCTGAGCTGATCTGGAAAATCTGGGTTGATTCTGTCAGAGCAGAAAGTAAGTTCCTGGGCTTCCTGGTCTGACGAGAAGGCCGAGGATCTGTCTGTTCAGTTTCTGCTCTTGTCAGACGCTCTCCCTGTGTTGGTATACAATTGTGTTTGTTCTTTACAACCACCTGTGAGAAAAGGAGGCTTATCCCATTTCCAATCCAAAGAAATGGAGAAGTGAAAATGAAAGTGTTAGTCTCTCAGTCCTGTCTGACTCTTTGCGACCCCATGGACTATAGCTCGCCAGGCTCCTCTCTCTGTGGGATTCTCCAGGGAAGAATACTGAAGTGGGTAGCCAGTCCCTCCTCCAGGGGATCTTCCCGACCCAGGAATCGAACTAGGGTCTCCTGCATTGCAGGTGGATTCTTTACCATTTGAGCCAGTAGGGAAGGCCCCAAAAGAAATGGAGCTTAGAGTTTAGTTAGCTTTGCTTTTAACAGGAAGAGCCAGCCTCAGGGTGAGCCAAGCCCCAGGGCAGCTGGCCTTCTGGAAGATGCTTTTGGTGCATTTTATCATGATGAAAACATTCACCTGCTAGAATGTTTCAGGCTCAGTACACACATTCTGGGTGGTGGGTCCTGTGTCCTTGCAGTCTTTTAGGAAAAAGTGGGAATTTGTGTCTGGTCTGGACAACTGTTTATGTGAAGGTATTGAGGTCAGCATGACTGGCAGACCCTTGAGTGGGTGGGAACACAGCCAGGGGAGGGGCCAACCCCAGAGGACTGAGTTTCTCAGACCCCCTCCCCTGAAGGAGGTGGGGGGGCAATCCTTGTGCCCCTGGAGCTGTGTCCTGGAGGAGGACTCACCATCATGAAGGAAGAGGACTCATGATCATGAACAACCTCTGAAAACAAACATTTTCAAGTTGTGCAGGAAGTGTGACTACGTGCTAATTATGCAAGTAATTTTCATGCATCTTCAGATTCCATCCAATTTCATAAATCTATTCCAGTTGGAATGAGGTGGTTATTAGGAATAGTTATTTGCCTTTCCGTTATCATTAATGCTGAATTAGGTTAATTGGTTATTTACACGTCACTGCTGTAATCACTGAGCACGCTGTGTGCAGTCACCATCATCCCGAGAAGGATAAAACATTTCATTAATAATAATTAGGCTTATTGGTTAATTGATAGAGTCGTTACTCAGTTGTTTTTATTCATAATAATTAAAACAGTGATTTTGTTGTTAACATTTAGATCTATTGGCTAATTTGTCATTCTCTTTAATAATTAGGTGAATTGGTTATTTAGATATTGGCTTCCGTGGTGGCTCAGATGATAGAGAATCTGTTTCCAGACTCTATAGAACCCCAGAACCCAGAGTTTTACCCCTGGGTCGGGACGATCTCCTGGAGAAAGGAATGGCATCTCGCTCCAGTATTCTTGCCTAGAGAATTCCATAGACAGAGGAACCTGGAGGGCTACAGTCCATGGGTCACAAAGAGTTGGGCATGACTGAGCGAGCAGCATTTTCACATTGATGGGAAGAAGAGAAGAGCGTGAGCTGAGCTGGTTTCACACACCTTCATTCATCGGATGGTGTGAGGCCCTCCTCTTTTTATCATCACCCTCTTCCTCTGTGTTTACGCCTGCAGCCTCCACTCCCCGAGCTCGCGGGCATCTCCACCCAGTGCCTCACTCACTCACTGAAAACACAGCCGGTGTCCGCTCCACCCCGACACGCTCACCCGCTGCGTCCCCACCGCAGCGCAGGGCGCCGTCACGGGTCCCCTTGTTCTGGTGACCCCGGTCTCTTCTTGCCCCTTCAGTCCACACACCTGACCTGCTGTCGAGTCTTGTCAGCTTCTCCTTCCAAACGCTATTACAGCCGAGTCAAACCCGCTCTTGTGTTGCTTCTCCACTTCTAAAGCCAGGTCCCGGCCACTTCCCAGCAGCCCCCCCTCCCACCGCTGTGCCCCGCGCCTTCCCGGAGCCCTGTCTCCTGCCCCACACCCCCATTCTGCTCCTTCACACTGACTGTCGGTCCTGGCAACACACGGAGGTCTGCCCATTCTCAGGCCCCTGAAGCTAGTGTTCTTCCTTCCCTGGACTTCAGCTCTCAGCTTAGACGTGGCCCCTTCTGCAGGGCCATTCTTGACCAGCCCCAGCCAGGATGGCCCCTCATTACAGGCCCAATGATTTCATCACGAGGGCTTCCAGTCCCCAGAATGGTCCCTTTGCTTGCTCCATGTTTGTTTTCTCCGTAATCCCAGCCCCCCACCAGCTTCTAAGAGTGCCATCAAGGGGCCTGGTAACCTGCTTTTACAAGGAGCTTTCCAGGTGTTTCTGTGGCAGATGAACCATTCAGGATCCACTGCACACGAGGGCTGTGTGACAGGCGGGACCCTTACCCTCTCTGGGCCTCAGTTTTCCATGTTGTCAAATAAGGAGGTTTAATTTCTAGTTGTTCAGTTGCTCAGTCATGTCCAACTCTTTGCGACCCCCAGGCAGCCCGCCAGGCTCCTCTGTCCACGGGGTTCAAGAATGCTGGAGTGGGTTGCTTTTGCCTTCTCCATTAATTTATAGCAGAGGATAACTAAACATCTGTCCACTCACACAGGCTGTGAGGCTGAGACAAGCAGTCAGCAGCACGGGAGCTTCTGCAGCAGGTGGAGGAGGGAGGGGGACGGGTTCAGACCAGCGAGCTGGTCGGGAGGCCGGCTTCCTGGAACGGCTGCTTTGAAAGAGGCCAGCGTACTCCAGGGGGTGTCGCATCACTGGAGGGATGAAAGCCAAGTGTGTCCAATTTGCCATCGGAGGGAGAGCTGTGTGTGGTGGGAGGGGGCCTCATATGAGCTCCGCAGGGCTGAGGTCCCTGTGAGAACCTCAGAGGTCAGGGTGATGTAAAAAGTTCACCTGGAACGTGCCTTCCAGAGAGGTGGGTCCTGGGAGTGCTGCCTGCAGGACTCCTGCTTTGCCTGGAGGTGAGCAGAGCTGAGCTGGAGCAGACGGGAGTGGGGAGAAGTGAGGTCACCAGCCACTTCTGGTGCCTCCATCTCCCATCCCTTAGAGGGACCCTGCGTGAGCACCTGCCCAGTCCCCCATCCAGCACGGCCCGGACACTCAGTGGCTCCAGGTCCAAGCAGATGTCTCCCAGTAAAAGCAGACGCTACCCACTCCCCTCCCCACCCAGCAAAGACTCGCCAGCACTCAGCGAGCCACGCAGAAAGCCAGGTCCAGGTGCCACCTGCAAAGTTCTGTTCCGTTCATGTCTTCTTCGCTGCCGGTCGTTGACTCAGCAGTGCCCCCAGCGGGAGAAAAGGGAAGTGTCCGCAGCGGCGACAACCATGGCCTTTTTTTAGTGTTTACCACCCTCTAGTGGGGATGGGACGCTCTTCTCCGAGTGCACCGCCCACTCCCCAGCTGTTGGCAATCAAGTTGACCTCAAACATTGAGTGAACATCTGCTGTGTTCCACGTCCTGGGCTTGTCGCAGTGTGAACAGAGGTGCAGGGGTGTGCAAGGGGGGACCCTGCCTTCAAGGGCACGTGACTCAGGTGAGCACCGTCACGCTGGCCTTCAGCGTGGGGGACGCCGTGATTCCTTTCCCTGGAGAATTGAAGAACGTTTCAGAAAGATGGAGATGTCCTTCTGAGCAGGGAGACGAGAGGGAGGGCATATGTGGAGAGACACTTGGACAAAGAAAGGCCAGAGGTGTGTCTCCTAGGACGTGTGTCGTGGTGAGAGGTGTGGCTTAACAGATCTCTTTATTCACCCCAGGTGATCCGATGCTGAATAATGCTTGGGAACCGCTGTTCTAGGAAATTTTTGTTAATGAATTAACTCTGTTTGTGTGTGTAGTCACACACAGACATATTTATTTTAAATGCACAACTATTTTCAATAAATATCAGAATAGATACTATACCAGTTATATGCCCATCACCCAGATAGCACACATGTTATCATGGTACAAGTTTTACTTCAGATCTTTTCTTTCTGCTTTTGTTCCTTTTTGTTTTATTTTTTTAAATAAGGTATTTCAATAAAACTGCAGCCCTGCCCCCATCCCATCACTTGATTCCCCATCTCTCTCCTCTCTCGAAGGTTGGTGCCACCAGGAGGCTGCTCCACACACGTTTGTCACCCAAGCCCCCCTCTTTCTTTACAGGGCCCCCCAGGATCACCTGGCGTCCCAGGCCCCCCTGGACCCGGAGGCCCCCCGGTGAGATTGGTTTTGACTTTCTCTTCCCAGGGCACTTAGATGGAGGGTTCATGGCCCCGGGAGCCAGGGGCATCATCGTGTGGAGCCGTCCGTTGGCTCTTTGTCCAAGGGCAGAGCAAAGGCATGAACGAGGAGGACCCCACCCGCAACCAGCCCCAGAGCCCCTTTAGACTGGAGCTCACACAGCTCCGGCGCCCCTTAGGCTGGAAAAAGCTCCTGAGCTCATTGAGCACGTTCATGGCTGCGCCTAGAGAAGTGTGTGGGAAGTGTGGGGTCTCCCTTCCTGGAGTCTTTCAGCAGTGTGTGGGTTGGCTCCCCTCCCCCAGTTCAGGGGCAGCTGGGAAGGTTCCTGTGGGCAGAGCAGAGGGTGGGGGGCAGAGAGGGGTGGGTCCCCCCACCCCGCCAGCCGGGCGTGAAGGTGCTGCTGGCCCCGACTGCAGCCCAGCCCAGCCCCGGCTGGCCAGCCTGGGAGGCGTGTCGGCTGCTTGGGTCACCGTGGCCCACACCGTGGACGGCCAGGTGCCCCCGAGGGGTCCACCCCGGTGCCCTCGTCAGAGCTGAAGATCTGGGCTCCTGCCAGCAAAGGTGCTGGGAGAAGGCAGCCGATGCTCGGAAGAGGTCAGACTAACGGTTTTCCCGTGGTTCCCTTGGCAGGGTCTGCCTGGAGAGATCGGCTTCCCGGGAAAGCCTGGGTCCCCCGGGCAGGCGGTGAGTGACCAGGGCACCCCTCCCTGCTCTCCCCTCTCCTGTCCTTCCATGTGGGAGGGGCTGGCCCTTCCGCTGGCCACCCAGGCTGCTTCCCAGTGGGTGACGCTCATGCCCTTTCCTCCCTGTTGGGGGGACCGGGGCCTGGCACCCGGCCTCCTCCTGCTCCCTTCAGTGGTGCCTGCCATGCGATGTCTCCTGGGGCTGCCCCCCGAGGACCCCCAGCCAGGCTGCAGATCAAGGCGTCCGCTCCTCAGGCCACTGCCTGTACTCTGTAGTTGCGAGGCACAGTCAACAGCCCTCGGCTGTTTGAGGTGTGGCTTCATGTCTGTGGGGATGCCGCCAGGGGGCCACGGAAGTAAAGGGCGCGGAGACACGAGGCTCGGTCCAGGATGTGGCAGGGCGTGCTCTATCTGTGTGCCTGCTGTGTTTCCTCTTTCCCGGTCAGCAGGATCCAGGGACCAGGCCTTCTCGATCCTTTTAGGTCCTGAGGGTGGAGGTCATCACACTTTAACATCCGCACAAGCAGGGTGCAGATTCAAGCTGGGGATCTCCTGCCTCTTGGCTGGCAGCTCTTCAGGGCAGGGTGATAGAGTGGCCTTGGGCCTCTGAGACCATGTGACTATGATGGGTGTCAGAGGTGACAGTCCTCAGGAGGCCCCTGCTCACCCAGAAGGAATTTCCTTATTGCTGCTTGTCGGGTGGGGAAAGGCGTGGCACCCGCACCACTGATGGGGGCTCAGGTCATTGGAGAAGGGGTGACAGAGGGAAAAGTCAGGCTGTGCAGCGTGGGCAGTTGTCCGCCTGTGACTGGGCCCTGGATCCACAGGCAGCTGTAGGCAGAGGCCCCAGGATGCAGAGACATGGTGGCTGGATGCTGGCGTGCTCGGCTATGTGGAGCTCCGGGTACCACAGCGAAGGCTCTGTACATAAATCATAGTTGTGATGTCCACTCTCAGGTGAGCCTGTCCGAGCCTGGAGCACATGGTTAGCTGTCATCCACAGATGTTCCTGAACACCCATCCACACGGTTCCACCCACTGACAGCTTACAGCAGTGACAGCACTCCCGGAAAGCTGGCACCTAGGAGCGGTCCTGCGCACCAAGCCCCACGCCAACCAGCTTCTGGCTGCGGAATCCGCTCCTGGCTGGGGGCAATTCAGCACAGTGCTGCCCTAACCGCACCTTTTATGTTGGTCTGTTTTTTCCCTCTGCCCAGGGGCTGCCTGGAAAGGACGGGCTAAATGGACCCCCAGGCCTGCCAGGACCCAAGGTTAGTATGAGTTAGGGAACCCAAAACCCAGAAGCCAGAGAGCTCTTTGATGGTTGGGTGCCCCGGCTGTGGATCACGTTTGGATCCTGAGTCATGCAGGGCTCGGAAATGTTTATATTCAAGGTCAGATATGGGTGAGTCCCTGATTCTGACCTAGGTAACTGGTGGAGGACTTGGAGGCCAAGGACTTTAAAATTATTCTATGAGAAATACGCATCTATTTTATTTGCAAGGAGGAAACCTTTTCAGAGACTCTTACATAATAAGAGACTTCAACTTAAAAATATTCTGGTGGGGCTCATTATAGTAAGCTCATTAAGAGGAGTCAGAGGTTAACTGTCATAAAATTAGGAAGCAAGTTCACAGTTTACTCACTTCACAGGGACAATTAAAAAACCATACAGCCAACTGTTTAACAAGTGAACTTCACCTTTTCATGGCAAAGATACAGAAGCTCAAGAATGGATGTCAACAGTCCTTGCAAGGCAACTTCTGGATGTTACAGGAGTTTTCACCATCCCTTTCAGTAGGCAGACTTAGAAGCTCAACTTTTTCATGACAGAATACAGAATACATATGGATTTAACTTAATTTAAGAACATGTTCTGTAAATATTCTCCATTCTCCTCTCTTTAAAAACAAAAGATAAGGGCTCATCAAGTATTTTGTCATCTCAGAAGCACTTAGGCAGTCTCCCCTGCTCTGAATCCCTCGTTCCCACTCCCTTGAGTCTGTAAATCAGGAGCAGAGCCGTTGAATCTGGGAGGTGGTTGGAGCTGCTGTTCCGGGCCGCTGCGGTCTCGCAGCGTTAAAGGAGCTCAGTAGCGCCCGAGTCCGAGTAGCCTTCCTGCTTCCAGCCCGGAGCTGGTGCTCGGTGGCTCCCGCCCACTCCCGGCTCTTGACTCTCCTCTGCCTTCCTTGCAGGGAGACCCAGGAGACAGAGGGGAGGACGGTCCCCCTGGACAGCGCGGCCCACGGGTAAGGACTCGGCCTTCCTCCTCTCGCGTCTGTTGCTCTAAGCGGGGTGTTCGGCGCTCTGTGTGAACCCCCGCTGTCAGAGCCGTGTAGGCTGGGATCTGGTGGGGCACAGCCAGGGCCATCGCACAGGGGCTGTCTGAAAGGCTGGGGCAGGTCGGGGTCAGTGGCGACACGCCCTGGGCTGATGACCGCCCAGAGCCACACCATGGCATGCCCAGGGAGAGGACCGGGAGTTCCTGGAGGCAGGGGGCCCTGTAGCTGGAGGAGAGGATGCCCCACAAGAGAGCCTTGTCCTCAGGAAGAGGGGCAGCCTTGCTGACCAGCCTGTCCTGGGAGGGGAGGAGCCAGGGGGTCAGTTCCCCAACCCCGTCCCCTGAGTTTCCCCTCCCTCCGATGTCCCTTCACACCTGACCCCTGCAGAAAGCAAGGAAGCCTGGGACTTCTGGGGGTGCAGACGTGTGGAAACTGGATCTGCAGGGGGAGCGGAGGCAACCCACGTGCCGTGTGGAGGGGGCACCTCCTGTGGGTGGGGGCCCAAGTGCTGGATTTGGGTGACTGTCTGTATGTGCTGTGGGTGTGTATATGGTGTGTGGGTGGGTATGTACATGTGTTTATGGTGTGTGTGGCTGTGTACATGGTGTGGGCATCTGTATGCAGTGTGTGTGTGTGTGTGTGTGTATGTGTGTGTTGTGTGTGTGTGTATGTGAGGTGTGTGTGTGTGTATGTGTGTGTTGTGGGTGTGTACATGGTCTGTGGGTCTGTATGTCAGGTGTACATGTATGTGAGGTGTGTGTGTGTATGCAGTGTGTGTGTGTGTGTGTTGTGTGTGTGTATGCAGTGTGTGTGTGTGTGTGTGTGTGTGTGTGTATGTGTGTGTTGTGTGTGTGTATGCAGTGTGTGTGTATGTGTGTGTATATGTGTGTGTGTATGTGTGTGTTGTGGGTGTGTACATGGTCTGTGGGTCTGCATGTCAGGTGTATATGTATGTGAGAGGTGTGTGTGTGTGTGTGTGTATGCAGTGTGTGTGTATGTGTGTGTTGTGTGTGTGTGTGCAGTGTGTGTGTGTATGTGTGTTTGTGTGTGTATGCAGTGTGTGTGTGTGTATGTGTGTGTGTTTGTGTATGCAGTGTGTGTGTGTGTGTGTGTATGCAGTGTGTGTGTGTGTATGTGTGTGTGTTCTGTGTGTGTGTATGCAGTGTGTGTGTGTATGTGTGTGTGTGTGTTGTGGGTGTGTACATGGTCTGTGGGTCTGTATGTCAGGTGTATATGTATGTGAGGTGTGTGTGTGTGTGTGTATGCAGTGTGTGTGTTGTGTGTGTGTGTGTGTGTGTGTGTGTGTTGTGGGTGTGTACATGGTCTGTGGGTCTGCATGTCAGGTGTGTATGTATGTGAGGGGTGTGTGTGTGCACGTGTGTGCATTTGCAGGTGTCTGTGCTTCTGGAGGGGCCTGTGCCCAGACAGAACCTCGCGCGGGGACCCTCTCGCTCACACTCTACTCGGGTAAGAGCTAGTTAAGGGCTGTAACTGGCTCTTGGAGACCGCCCTCCAGCCCCAGCCCACAGCAGGCACCTGCAGGCACTCAGTAAGGGCTCCCTGGTGGCCAACTGATAACTAACAGCCCAGAACGGGCACAGGTATGGCCTGAACTTGGCCCAGTGGTGACCCTGCTGTTCTGGGAGGCAGGACCCGGGTCACCTCGGTGGCCAGTGAAGGACTAATGGGCAAATCCCTGGACCCTCAGTTCCCTGTGGCCTCACTTTTTCAAGAAGTGATCATTCTTTAGTGAAGTCGCTCAGTCGTGTCTGACTCCTTGCAATACAGTCCATGGAATTCTCTAGATCAGAATGCTGGAGTGGGTAGCCTTTCCCTTCTCCAGGGGATCTTCCCAACCCAGGGATCAAACTCAGGTCTCCCTCATTGCAGGCAGGTTCTTTACTAGCTGAGCCACAATTTAGACCAAATTAAAATGGAGCAGAACACGCATGGATTATCACTGCCCGCCCTGCTCAGGATGCCTGATGGACTTTTTGTGGAAAGCATCCGCTAGGAGCCGCTGCACCCCGGATTCCTCAGGGCTCCATGAGCCAGCTTATTGTCACTTGCAAGCACAGCACCCTCCATCTTTTAAGACTCAACGTTCCTGTTTTTAAAAAATATCTGTGATTGAAATGTAATGATATGTAACTGGCTGTGTTTTGTCCCTCCATTGCTCTGGGGTAAATCACATGGTCTTTTAAACACCAAAGGCCACCTTCCTGTTTTTGATTGATTGGCTGAAATTCGATCATCTTCCAGAAATAACTTAAAGCATTTGCATAGGTCACTATTGTTTTTCATTTTTGACTGCTAGGACTTTATGGAGTCAGCCAGACCTGTGAGCTGTGTTTCCTCACATCTGTGAGTTGGCTTATCCTTCTGAGCTTACAGTGTATAAATTCCCACGTTCCATTCAGCAGTCTTCAGAAGAACCTGTTCCCATCGAGTTCCCTGTGCGGACAGAGTCGATGGATCACAAGTATTGGGGTGAATTTGAGGTGCCCTTGGGGTTTGTCTTTCATCTTTCCATCTACATGTTCAGTATTTATGCTCGCCCCGTGACTGAAAGTTCCAGAGAGGTCCATTACTACAGCTCATCTGCTGTCTTTGTATGATTTCTAGTGTAGTGTAGTGCATTTAAAAATTCTGGGAAGTTGGAAACAATTTCTGCAGTTATGTTGATTTTAGAACATAGTGTGTAGCTGTGAAGGAGACCTGGCAGGAGGTCTGTTGCTTTATTTTGATATCATGCCTCGTAAAGATAAGTATCTCCAAAGAAGGTCGTGGACGCATCCTGGACGACGGGTCTCGAGTCCACTTGGAACAGACCGGCTGCAGGATGAATGGGTGTATCACCCTTTTGGGCTCATGTTGAGGATTCCAGGAGCTGTCCAGACCTTCGTGGGTCATGCTCTGGCTTAGGATTCACAGCATGGATTCAGGAGGCACTTCAGGAAGCCTTCAAAATGCTTGCTACCCAACCTCAGCACCACCTCCCACCCAGTGCCTTTCCAAATGTAAAGGTTGTCTTGTCCTAGCAGATTTAAAGTGACAGTTTGTGTAGCAAGTGTTTGCACAGATCCGGTAAGAGCAGCTGTTACTAATTGTGCTTGTGAACACTGGGAATTGATGGGAAAAGTGGAGTGCATCTAGAATTTCTATATGCACCGACTCAGACCCCAGTGGCCCTAGCCGCCCCAGAACTGCAGGATAAAACGTGTGCTTCATGCTAAACAACGCTTTTAGTTTCTTTACTTTCTCTTTTTTTCTCTCTCTCTCAATATGTGGTGTAGCCTTCACTACCACTGGGGTTTGGCATAGCTGCAGGGAAAACCTTTATGTGTGTGCATAACCGTTCATTCATTCATTCATGTGTCCACTTACCAGAAAACCAAATTTCCTTATGGAAATCTACATGAAGATTTTAATAAGGACCACACTTAGCTTCCATGGTGGCTCAGACGGTAAAGAATCTTCCTGCAATACAGGAGACCTAGGTTCCATCCCTGGGTCAGGAAGGCCCCCTGGGGAAGGGAATGGCAAGCCATGCCAGTATTCTTGCCAGGAGAATCCCATGGAGAAACGAGCCTGGCAGGCTAAAGTCCATGGGGTCGCACAGAGTCAAGACATGACTGAAGTGACTGACTATGCGCCCATGCATAATGACGTTAGAAACTGGCATTCAAGAAGTTAGTGTTTCTGAAGACACGTGGCTCATTAGAAATTGCAGTCCCTCCCCGCTCCTCCCACCACAGACCTCTTTGCCTCAGTGACCTACAGGCACCTGCTGAGCGTGGGGTCAGAGAGTGGGCCCCTCTGGTCCTGCACCCCCCGCCCCCCACTTCAGCAGGACCAGGAAACACTGGTCAGAAACCTGATGCCAGAGGACACGACTTAATCCACGTGACCGGAAGCTGCGTAGCCCTGCTGAGGGCTTGCTTTCCAACGTAATATAAGTTTGGACATTTAAGCAGCATTTTACCTGAGACTGGCCTTTATAGCAACACACCATGGGAGGGGAAATAGACCTCTCTCCTGCCCGTGAGTTCCTCCACCCCCAGCTGCCTGTGTTAACCAAGGAGTCTGAACAACTGTGGGCCGCTCGGTCAGCTCGGACAAGTTCATCAATAGCGTCTCCATCAATGGACCTGGCCTAGGGTCTGAGTTCCCCCTGAAGGGGAGCAGAGCTCAGAGTTGGGGTGGCTCCAGGACTCACAGGTTTTGGCTCCCTGTGGTTCTAAACTGTGTTTAGAATCAGAATCACTGGATCCAACCTGTGTAAACTCCCATCAGGGCAGCTCCAGAAACTGTTTCTTTTGAGGGAAGGTCAAGCCAGTGTGGGGCTTCCCGGGTGTCACTAGTGGTAAAGAATATGCCGACCAATGCTGGAGACTTGGGTTCCATCCCTGGTTCTGGAAGATCCCCTGGAGGAGGGAATGACAACCCACTCCAGTATTCTTGCCTGGAGAACCCATGGACAGAGGAGCCTGGCAGGCTACAGTTCATGGGATCAGAGTCAGACACGACTGAGTGTGCGTGCAAAGACCACATGGTGGGTGGAAGCCTCTCTCCAGAAATGCTCAGCACCTGGGGTTGTGGCGCCTGTGCTGCTTGTGTGAGAGTCGAGGGTGTGGGCGCCAGGCGCCCTGAGTCTATGGGACCGCCTGGGGATGACAGCCATCTCTGCCAACATGAGTGGTCAGTGACGGGGCGTCTGTCATTCTGTCTGCAGGGTGAAGTCGGGGAGCAGGGCCTGGCCGGCCGACCTGGAGAAAAGGTCTGTTCATTCATTCATTCGTTTGTTTGTTCATCCAATGCATTCGTTTGTTAGTATCTGCTGCCCTGTATCGCTTGTCTCCCTGGAGCTCACAACACGCCTGTGTGCCTTCGTCTGTTTTCCCTGTGACCATCAGCACGTCCTGTGCGTCCCTTGCTGTGTTGGGTACCAGGGTCACACCGTCAGCCAAGGGCAGTTGAGCCGGTGCAGCGAGTGATGCCATGCAGGTGGCAGAAGGGTCCCAGGAGGCCCCCCACTCAGGCTCGGGGGATGTCAGGAGAGGTGGCCAGGAGGTGACATCGTGGCTGATCCAGAGGGATGAGGAGTCGGACAAGAGGGGAAGTAAGGGTTCCCGGGCGAGGGAGCGCAGAATGAGCCTGCGCCTGGGGCCGCCCCCGGAACCGCGTGTAGAATCCCCCTCTCTCCGCTGCTTTGTTTCCACGTTACCCTGCTCCTTCAGAGGTCTGGGGGCAGCCTCCTTCCTGAGCCCACCAGCCGTGGCACTGTGTTCTTTCCGCAGGGAGAGGCAGGGCTCCCAGGCTTCCCAGGACTCCCAGGTGCGAGGGGAGAGAAAGGAGACCAGGTGAGTGGTGGGTGCTTCTTGCCAGCGAGGCCACGCGCTGCGCCCGAGGAGAGAGCCCCCTGTCCTGGCTTGCACACTTGAGGACGGGCTGACCCGGGATGGGGTTACAGTTTTCCCCAGTGTTTATGGAAGAGGAGAGGCAGGGCACGGGGCCACCGTGGGCCACGCGCTGGAACGAGGGGACAGCGGCCATCTGGAAGGGCGAGTGGAGTAGCTTCAGATGAAATTTGTGGGAACGACGGGGGGCATCAGCCGTCAGGTGCCAGATGGAGCATTTGCCCCTTCACACAACCAACACGTCCCTCGATCTCAGTCCTCACTGTGGCAGGGCAGGCTGGGGAGATGAAACAGTATTTTGCCCAGGGTCCCCTTGCTCTCGCCTGGAAGAGGCAGCCGTTACACTCAGTCATGTTTTAATGTCTCCTGGTTTTATCTTTTCTCTGCAGGGAGAGAAAGGGGCCCTGGGGCTTCCGGGCCTGAAAGGCGACCAAGGTGCAAAGGTAGGAGCTGCTGCCCTCGTCCTGGGTGTCGGTGCCGCGTGTCAGAAAACCGCCCGTCCGTTGTTCACGTGCAGGGAGTCCCGTGCTTGAAGTCGCAGCTGTGGCACGGGTGGCGGTCCTGGTTCTCCCCGCTGCGGTCCTGAGCATCCCATCTAATCCCCATGTCTCCCTTGCTGGCCCGAAAGCAGAGCTGCCCGTATGGGCTGGCATCCATGGGCAGTTGGCTGCAGGAGCCCTTGCAGATCAGTGAAATCGTGGATGCCTGAGTCTCTCATATAAAGTGGTGGAGCCTGAGAACCGTGGGCCTCCAGGAACCAGCGCCAGGGAGGTGGGACCCGCCACAGGCCAGGGTCGTTGTGGCGAGCACAGCACACATAGTGACTCGGGTGATCCCGGCGACATCCGGAGGCGGGTCGGATTATCAGCAACACCCCCAGCTTATAGATGAGGAGACTGAGGCACAGAAGGGCCAGGCTGCTGGCCCAGAGTTGTGTGGATGGAGGGCGGTGGGAGTGAGACCTGACCACAGCCTGGGCCCAGTGTCCAGGCTCCGAGCGGGTCCACGTGGCGCACCGGCCTGGCCAGGGGAGCCCGGGCAGCCTCACGCCCAGCGGGGCCCTGCAATCCCCCCTCTGCTGCCTGGGGGGCCACCTGGTTCTCCTAGTTTGAGCTCCGCACCCTCCCGTGTCCCACTCTCCTGCCCACCATCCTGCTCAGCAGCCCCCATCCCCACTCCCAGGCTGAGGGCCAAGGTCTTTGTTCTGAACGGACCTGCAATCTATAAATAGAGATCCTGCAATGGAAAGGGCTTTGGTGGATAAGCTGTTCAGGCCCGCGGCTCTCCCGGACTTCTCAGAAAAGCAATTTCTATTTGAGAAACTCATTTCCAAGATGCAGAGGACTCAGCGAGGCCATTAAGCCCTTTTATTGCTTTGGCAGAATTGCCAGGGCCACGGCAGAATCGCATTCAAGCTTCCGAAGAATCTGGCCTGCTTTTCTTTGCCTCTAGAGAAATATGTCATCATAGACAGTTCTGGGTTTAAAAAAAAAATGACGTTGAAGCAACATCGCCCCCTGCTGGCCGTGCCTGGGCGTCCCTTCCTCAGCGGTCTGGTCTGCTTCCTCCCCACCCCACACTGAGAGCCTTTTGATCCCAGGGCATCTCTAAGAGGAGGGTGATAACGCCCCTGCGTCAGCTGGGGCTGAGACACTTAAACTGCGGAGAAGCGGTTTAAGCCCACGCCAGCCCCATTGACTCCACAGCTCAGAGACCTTTCCCCAGGCGGGCATCTTTCTCCAAACCAGAGAGCTCCTGGGCTCTGCCCCGCCAGCTTGCCCCACAGCATCGAAGGCGGGTGAGGCTCCTCCAGAAAGGTGGTCTTGAGGCCCTTGGGGTTGGACACACATCTCTCCTCCAGCCCCCTTCTTGTTTATGTCCATTCACACCTTGTACTGTCGTGCTAATGGTAAAGAACCTGTGTGCCGGTGCTGGAGACGTGGGTTCAATCTCTGGGTCGGGAAGTTCCCCTGGAGGAGGATGTGGCAGCCCACTCCAGTGTGTTCTTGCCTGGAGAACCCCATGGACAGAGGAGCCTGGTGGGCTACAGTCCACGGGGTGACAGAGAGTCGGACATGACAGACTGAACTCACTTGCACGTGCATTGCAGTGGGAAACCCTGAACTTGGATGGTCTGGATGAGACTGGTTCTGGAACATGTGGTCAACAGTGTCAAGAGGAGAAGTGGGTGGACTCAGCACTGGGAAAGGTGCTGTGTTCTCTCTGAAGCTTCTGCAGCATGGCCAGGGGAAGGCCTCGCAGTGGCTAAGGTCATGGGGTCAGAGTTTACCACCAGGCTGCCCCAGCTGCTGTCTGTGTGGCTTTGGGCAGGGGCCCGAGTGTGGCCCTGCTTCAGTCCGCTCATCTGGGGAATGGGGCGCATATGAAGCACCTCTGCTCCAGGCATCTCGGTGGTGATGAAGGGAATTAATGCACGTAGAAAATTGAGCTGCTACCTGGAATTAAATCCTGCATAACCATAGAAACAAGCATAGAAAACAACGTAACCACTTAAAAAACTTTTTAATTGAAGTATAGTTGATTTACAACGTGGTGCTAATCTCCACTGTGTAGCAGAGTAACTCAGTTACACACATGTAGACATTTTTTAAAATACTCTTTTCCATTATGCTTTATCATGTAACTACTTTTCATTATCATCTTATTGTTGTCACTATTAATAAGAGAAGCCTAGCCCATCTCTCAGTCAGCTTTATTCATTCACTTGCCCACTAATAACCACATGTGTACCCAGGCCTGCACGCATGGACCCTGGGCTTCTAGGACACGCGTGAGCAGAGATATCCCTGTCCCAACACCATCGTGACTCACATGGAATGAAAGGCTTTGGGGACCATTCCTCCTGATGGAGCAGCCCAGTGACCTGCTTTCCTCGAGGCAAATGGAGTAACAATTTCTTCCTCATTGGGACTGCACTGAAAGTCTGAGTCCCCAGAGGATGCTGTGAGCTGTGTGTACCGTCACCATTATTTTGCATAGAGGAAAACACGCCATTAGAAGTAAAATAATGTGTGAAATGGCAGAGTTAGGTTTCAAGCTCGGGTGAGTCGACTCCCAGGCCTGTGCCGTTCACAGGAACGTAATACCCACGCCTCAGCCCCTGAGAAGAGCCTGAGCGCTCCGAGGCGGGCAGGGTCCAGAGGGGCCTCTCAGGGGCTCAGTGTGGGCTCCAGGACAGCGTGGGGACGTTGGCTGCAGCAGGTGGGAAATCACGTCAGTGTGGTCAACGGGAGGATGGTCACTTTATCTCCAAGTGCACCATGGAATAGCATGGAATGGTATAAATGACCTGCAGCATAGATGTTTCTCAGAACAGAGTTCTGGTCTGTTTGAAATATTTCATAGCTTGGATCTGTATATCTGTCAATTGCAGTAGAGGCAGACTGGGTGAGCCTGTCTTCTTAGGAAAAGTATTCCAGGATAAGAAGGACTGTGTGAGTGTGCTTAGTCGTGTCCGACTCTTTGTGACCCCATGGGCTGTAGCCCGCCAGGCTCCTCTGTCCATGGGATTTTCCAGGCAGGAATACTGGAGTGGGTTGCCATACCTTCCTCCAGGGGATCTTCCCAACTCGGGGATCAAACCTACGACTCTTACATCTCCTGGATTGGCAGGTGGATTCTTTACTGCTGTTTCCATTTCTTCATCTAGGGTGAAGTGGGTCCACCGGGGCCCCCTGGATTACCTGGCACTGTAAGTTACTCTGCTTCTAATCCTTTTTCCTCCTGCACACCGACCACATAGTTATAGACGTTTTTTTAAGGGAGTCTGCCAATAGCCGACCCATCCCTGGGTCTCATGATCCAGAAAGTACATGAGCTTCTGTAAGAACCACCTTGTACTTATTGACTTAGTTTATTCAGCAAACACAGTTAGTGTTGATCAGAACACTGGCTAGACCCTGGGCGTCCATGCCCACCTGCTGCATGTGGGGATGAGGTCAGAGACAGGAAGCAGTTCGTCCAGGGTGAGGCTGCAATGTGGACATAGACCCAGGACCCACACCTCCACCCTCTGCAGGCCCGAGGGTGGGCATTGTGAGCTGGGGTTCAGGCGTAAGTAAAGAGCAGGGGCTTTGGAGCCAGAAGAAAAGAGTGGGTTTGAATCCTAGCTGTGCTGCTCACCGGCATTGTGATCTTAAACATGTTATTTAATGTGAAAAAGACTCCATCTTCTCATCTGTTAAGGAAAAAGAATGTTATACGGAGCTGTGCTTTATACATTTGTAGTGAAAATTGACTGAAATATATAAGGTACATTTTGTAGTTTCTGGTACATAACAAATAGTAATTTAAAAAAAAAACAAAGGCTATATAAGTATGTGAGCATAGTTTGCATTTATTTTTTCACTTGAATGTTTCTTTCCAGCCTTGGTATTCTATGCTTTAATGAATTTTGGGGTGGGGGGCAGGAAGGGAGATGAATGTGGCTCCGGGAACTGGCCTTGTCTGGGCATGTAGGGATTGGTCAGTTAGTAGCTGAGGCAGGGGACAGCCTCATGTGGAGGGCAAGGGCTTGAAAAGGAATGTGTGATTCTGTCGAGAATCATCCTTAAAGGAGCCCCTGAGGCTGCGTTCTCCCACCGTAAGTCTGTCAGAGGCAGGTTGCTGATGTCTACTCACGTCTGTCTTGTTTCTGCGGTCTTCTTTGCAGACGTCCCTGTTCACACCACACCCGAGAATGCCCGTAAGTAGCAGCGGCGCCTTGTGGCTGCCCGGTGCCCCCCGGCCTGGCTCATGATGCCCCTGGGTGTTCTGGGGGGTGGGGGGCTGGGCTGCGTCCTGACCCTCGGCCCTGACCACCAGCCGCTGTCAGGCCTCTGGGTTCCCGACCTTGTCCTAGCAGCTGACGGGGAGCAGGCCTGGCGAGGGACCAGCTTCAGGGGCAGATGGGACCTCCCAGGTCAGGGGCCGGGAGGTGGCCTCCCAGTAGCCGAGGGCGAAGGCCACCTCTCTCTTTGGGTAAAGTGACCCCTCACTGCACAGGGTGGTCGGTTGTTCCAAGCAGGACAGAGCCCTGTGAATGGCAGAAGGTGAAAGGGCAGAGGGGGCAGGTCGGGGGGGCCCCGCAGAGAGGGGGCCAGCCTGGGGGTCTTGGAGGCCAAGTCTTAGGCCATTCAAGGGGCAGTGGGGACTGAGCTTGCTTGGGGCAGTGGCCTGTGGGAGAGCGTGTGGCTTTTTCTGAAGATGGAAGCGCTTGATGGAAAAGGACACTCAGCGTGGCCGCAGCCTCCAGAAGTCTTTCCCTCCTCTTTTTTGAGGGGCTTCTGTGAAGACGAGTGTGTTCAGGGTCTCTGACATCACCAAAGTTGCCTCCTTTGTTGGTTTGCTCTTGGGGACGTGGTTCTTCTGTGGTTAGGGCTTGACCCACTGCACCACGTGTGGCAGCCAAGAGGCTTAGGCGAGGACCCATCTCCACGTCGCTGCTATTTTTTTTTTTTTTTTTTACGTTGCTGCTATTAAGTAGCTATAACTTGAGAAGCTAAAGAGATCCTGGATGTGATGTAAAAGAAGGGAGCAGAAAGGGAGAGAGACTGAGTCGATGCCGAAATCACCATGGAAGGAGAGGGAGGATTTTGAGCTGCTTTGGATGAGGAACGGGGAGGAAGTGAGGGCAGGGGGCTGTCCCTGGGTGGTGGGGGGAGGCTGGGGAGCACAGGAGTGTTGAAGGATGCTGAGGGGAGAGCAGGTGGGGCTCCAGCTGTGTCTCCTCTCTTGAAGGAAGGGCTCGGAGGGACAGAGAGGAAGCCTTGAGTGTGGCGGGCGCAGGGTAGGCATCGCTCCGACCAGCCCTGTGTCCGGCTCAGAGATGATGGCCCGAGGCTCGAGGAGTGAAGCACCTTGCCCAGGGCCTTCCTGGAGTCAGGAATCAGGAGGTCGCTGCTGGCCTAGGCCCTGGCTGAGCAGCTGTCCCCACTGGTGCCGAGGTTCAAGGCTCTGTCACGCTGCCCCGCCGCCTCCCTCTTCCAGAACCATGTCCCCCTACACGATGCCTCAGCCCTTCATCCTCTGGGACTCCTCCCTCTTGCCCACCCTGAGTCCCTAAAGCTTGTGGCAAACCTACACATCCAGCCTCTCTGTAAAGGAATCACTCCATCCATAAAAGATGATGCCCCAGATGTTCCCACGGGAAGGGACTGAGAGGGGCCAGAGGTCTGCCCGGCCTCCCCTTAGAATCCCTGGTGGGGGGACACCTTCCTGCAGGGTCTGAGCTCTGCAGAGACCAGGAAGCCACTTACAGATGCAAAGCAAGGAAATTGTGTCCACGGGAGAAAAAGATTCATTGGGGATTACTGCATGAATCCCTCTGGGGCTGCCTCGTTGCCATGGTAACCGTGTTTGTATTGATGGTTTTGGAAGCCGTTCTGTTTGACTTCTCCCTGCTGACCTCAGCGGTCTGCCTTTGAGTCCCTGCACACAGCAGAAGCTGGGAGATTTGGAGGGGCAGCCAGGTCCCTTGGACAGAGGAGCCTGGAGGGCTATAGTCCACAGGGTCGCAAAGAGTCAGACATGACTGAAGTGACTTAGCATGCATGTATGTACAAGGTTTGCAGCATAATTAAGAAGGCGACTAGAAAGGGGACGAGGGCTGGAGGAGAGCCCCAGCTCCTGTTGCAGGAGCAAGAAGCCTCCTGGGGATGTCGGGGACCCCAGCTGGGAAGGCCGCGAGGCAGCGTGGTGATGACAGTGAGAACAGAGCTGTTAGCTGGCGTGGGGGTCTGCTGTCAGAGAGGAGCGTGAGCCCGCTCCTTGTCTGGAGGATGGAGGGACAGGCAGTCTCAGGCTGGGAGACGCTACAGCTGAGAGCTTTTGGGGGGCTTTGTAACTGGTTCAGAAGCCGCTCCCTGGGAGAGCAGCCTGACCCACCCCCTCCCCCTGCAGAGGGTTCTGGGAGGCCTGGCCAGTGCCCTGCAGTTGCTGAACCCAGAGCGGGCATCTCCCGGGCTGGCATCACCAGCAGGGGGCGGTGGAGAACAAGGCTCCTGTGTTTCAGCATTCAGCAGCTGTTGATGGGCGCCTGCTGAGCACCCCTGTGGTGAAGGCTCTGCTGTTGGCGCTCAGGCCTGGGTAGAAACGCCCTGAGCTTCTTGTCTGAGAGCCTCAGGGTCACCCTCCTGACCAGACCCACACAGTCCCTTCCCTCACTGGCAGAAAGCATGCACCGCTGCTTCCCTCTGTGTCCCCCAAATCCACCCCATCTGCCCTTCCATCTTTACGGGTCATGTCTCCAGTGGCTTGAGGACCAGACTAAACGCTTTTGCAAATCTCCACCATGGGACGTTTTCTTGGGGGAAGGCAAGCTAGAGTAAGGGTCTTGTCTGAGGAATGGAGCCTGAGTGTGCTCTTCTGAGCTGGCGGGAGATGGGGTTCTGGAAGGAGGAAGGAGCTTGCCTTTGAAAGCCTCGTTGTTGGGGCGGCCTTACTGAACCCCTGCTTTCTGGGGTAGAGTGTGCACATTCCATCAACGGCCTGTGCAGGGGGGTGGGGCCCCAGCCCAGGCCGTGCAGACGCTAACTCAAGGGCCAGTGATGGGCGTGGGCGGTGGGGGCGGCAGAAGCCTCGGGGGCAAGGTCCATGGGTGGAGAAAGCAGCGTGGAAACTGCACAGGGCGGTACCGGCTTCTGCTGGCTTCTCCTCCAGCGCGAGGTGCCTGCACAGGCCGGGAAGGTCCCTGCGGCCGACCCGAGGGTGGGCCGGGTGCAGCTGCCTAACTCTGTGCTTCTCCGCCAACAGGGAGAACCAGGGCCCAAGGGAGAGAAGGGCGATCCCGGCGCACCTGGGGAGCCGGTGAGTGCTCTCTGTTCTGCGCCCGTGCCCCTCCTGCACCCCTGCCCTCACCCCTGCCCCTCACCCCTGCTCACACCCCTCCCCTCACCTTCCCTCACCCCTGCCCGCACCCCTCCCCTCACCTCTGCCTCTCACCCCTGCCCCTCACACCTCTCTCTCTCACCCCTGCCCCTCACACCTCTCTTCACCCCTCCCCTCACCCGTGCCCACACCCCTGCCCCTCACCTCTGCCCTCATCCCTCCCCTAACCCCTCACCTCACCCCTGCCCTCACCTCTGTCCCTCACCCCTCCCCTCACCCCTGCCTGCACCCCTGACCTCACCCCTCCCCTCACCTCTACCCCGCCTGCACCCTTGCCCCTCATTCCTGCCCCACACCCTGCCCGGCACCCTCACCCTGTGCGTCTGCTTTCCTGAGACTGGGCATCTCCGGGCCTGTCTGAACTGCACACAGGAGCCCTGCTGAGCTGAATGTAGCTCCTTCCTCCTCCCTCCTCTCTGTGGATCTCAATCCCTTCCCGTTGCCGTGTTCATGCCTCCCCAGAGCAAGGGTGTGACCTCGTCCACTGATGGGTGGTTTCATTGCAGGGAGCGCCAGGTCATCCTGGAGAACTGGGGCCTCGGGGGCCTGTTGGACCACCGGTAAGAGACCCCTCTGTCCTCTGTTGGCTCCCGGAGCAGAAATTCCTGCTAGTCCCTCGCTGTCCCCTCCACCCTGTCATTCTAGGAATGTCCACCAGGGGGCGCCGCAACAGGCGCTGCTAGGACGGAGTCCAGGGCTGGGGGAGAGAGGTTCTCCCAGAAAGCCCCCAAAGGCAGCCCCTGGAGCCCAGACGGTCGTTTCCCCGTCACTGAGGCGTGGGTTTAGGAGAGCTGGTAACCTGCTGCACCTTCCCTCCCCGCCAGCTCTTAAAACCCAGGTGGTCCTGGCTCCCGGAGGCTCTTCAAATGCAGGAAATCTCCAGCGCCAATATAGAGGATACCTAGAGTGTGTTACGGAGAAGGCAATGGCACCCCACTCCAGTGCTCTTGCCTGGAAAATCCCATGGATGGAGGAGCCTGGTGGGCTGCGGTCCACGGGGTCGCTAGGAGTCGGGCACGACTGAGCAACTTCACTTTCACTTTTCACTTTCCTGCATTGGGGAAGGAAGTGGCAGCCCACTCCAGTGTTCTTGCCTGGAGAGTCCCAGGGACGGGGGAGCCTGGTGGGCTGCCGTCTATGGGGTCGCACAGAGTGGTCGACTGCAGCAACTCAGCAGCAGCAGCAGCGGAGTGTGTTAACATTTTGATTATATTCTGACTGGACTCTTAACTGGCTCTGTGCTGGGCAGTGTTTCGTGAGCTCTGAGTGGCCTGTCCGGGCCCAGATCCCAGGGGCCCCCGGCTGCCTGTGTGCGCCCGGGCGGCCTGTCCCTCTGCGCCTCACATATGTCAGGATGAAGGGTAGGGGCTGCGGCCTGTGTCCTGGGGGTGAAGACTGAAGAAGTTTAGGGAGCCCAGAGCTGTGATCTCTGCACCTGTAAATGTGCTCCCTGTTCTTTCAGTTTGGTCGTGGTGGTTTAGTCGCTCAGTCATGTCCAGCTCGGCGACCCCATGGACTGTAGCCCACCAGGCTCCTCTGTCCTTAGAATTCTCCAGGCAAGAATACTGGAGTGGGTTTCCATTTCCTTCTCCAGGACATCTTTCTGACCCAGGGATCGAACCTGCATCTCCTGTATAGGCAGGCGGAATCTTTATCTCTGAGTCGCCCGGGAATCCTGTTCTTTGAGTTTGGATCACCTGATTCTGATGACAAAGGTGCCCCCGCATCACTGCATGGGGCCGAGGACAGCGTTGCAGGAGGCGTCTCACTTCCTTTCTATTTCCCATGCAGGGTGCCAAGGGACAAGAAGGCGCCCAGGGAACGCCTGGAGCAGCCGGGAACCCTGTGAGTCCTTCCAGGCCACCTGCCTCCTGGGGCCCACGGGAGGGGGCTGGGCCAATCCCTGCCCCCAGGTGCCCAACTCCCTGCTGAGTGTGTGGCCGGGCCTGGGAAAGTGCCGTCCACCCTGGAGGGCTGGCCAGGCCCAGGGCCTCCTCCTGTCCACCCCACCTCACTGGGTCCTCTCTCTTGTCTCCAAGGCTTGTTCACACCCTTACAGTCAACTTACATTATGCCAGAGTGTGTGTCTCCATAGCTCAGATCTGCAGATTTTGATCCATTTTCAGGGTTTCCATTCCCCCATGCTCTGAAGCTAGAGGGCACGCCCCACCTGAGACGTGTGCTTGACAGCACCTGGCCGTCCTCTCTGCCCTCCCCCGACACCCACTCCTCCACCTCTGCCACCTCCGTGCTGTAGTCTTAAGGATCATCCCGGAGTCCTCCTGGCCTCCTGCCACCCCCTCTGTGCTGGAATCCAGCTCCTTTGAGGCTTGGCTACTGGGCACCCCCTGACCCTCCTGGATAGGGAGGCCATCCTTCCTGTAGAGGGAATGTCAGCTAGAAGCATTTTGAGCAAATCAGGCAGAGTTGAATAGGAGGCAAGTTTGGAGAAAGACTGGGGGAGCCACTTGTAATCAATTCCTTGGGGCTTTCTGACCTTCTTCTGCCTCTCTACAGGGAGCTCCTGGAGTTGTAGGTCCCCCTGGCCCCAGCGGCCCCCCAGGAAGTGTGGTGAGTGCCTGGGGTGGGTGGGGAGGGCAGCGGCACCAGCACGGGTTGTGGATCCGTGAAGCCCATCCCCCTAGTTAACTCATGTGTCCTCCACAACAGAACTCAGGGTGTAGGCATCCCTGCTCCCATTTCACAGATGGAGAAATTGAGGTCCCAGCAAAGATACCTACAAAGTTACAACCTGAGGTTCTTGGTAACTCAGGAGATCTGTGGGTGGTAAAGGAAATTGTTGGGGGCAGAAAGCTGTGAGCAGCACTGATGCTGGGATCAGTGTCACAGCTGGCCTTGGAGGAAGCAGGATGGACCTGTAGGAGTGGGAGATGCCCTAAATATTGGATTGCTGGGTCCTAGCCGCAGCTCACTGGCTGCCAGGCCTCTGCAGGGGTTCGTGAGGCCTCAGCTTTTTCATCTTCAGCCTGGAGCGCGTGGGCTGTGTAGGCTCACCTTTGTGCCCCACTGCTCTTGGCCTGTAGAGGCGGCCACCCCGTGGGGGCCCTGGGGTCTGCTTGTGGGCCCGCATTAAGAGCCACTGTGGACATTGATTTTGATTTCAGTTGTGCAGCAAAGCGCCCAGTGGCGTCCAGTGAAGGGCACCAGAGAATTGTGCTCCTGGGGTAGGCTGAGTCCAGTCCTGTTCGGTCACCATCTTTTCTGTTAATGATCACAGCGGCTTAGAGCACAGATGTGGGTGCAGGTGTGTGCCAGGCACCATTTAAGTCCTTTACACTCACTGACTCCTCACGACCCTGGGAGGCGAGTGTCAGAAGGGCCCCCTTTTACTCAGGAGGAGACTGAGTCACAGGGAGACGGCGGCATGTGGTCAGTGGTTGCTGTGGAAACCGCGAGACCCTGGCCCGCATCACGTCACCCTCCCCCGCAGGGTCAGTGCACTCTTCCCGGAGCCAACCCTGCGTCCCTTGGCCTGAGGGTTTTCTCTGGCCTTTCGAGACCTCATGGTCCAGCCACATGGCATGTGGCCAGTAGCAGCAGCAGCAGCAGCCCTGGCCGACGGGTGTGTGAACGGCCCACCTCCTTCACCCCTGGGGGAGCTGCTCCCAGCACCTGTCTGCCGTTGGACCCCGGAGCCCCCGGCAGGACCGAGCTGCATCCGTGTGAACGTGTCCCTACCCGCCCATCATCCTCTTTCTGACGTCCCTGCTGGTGCATCCTCAGGACGCCTGCCCTGAGCCTTGCCTTGAAAAGTCAGCCTCTAGGGGATGCTGACGACATGGGCAGGTCAACGATGCCAAGGCTGTGCTCACGACACGGGCGGGTCAATGATGCCACGGCTGTGCTCCTAGGCCACCCTCTCCTCCCCGAGGTCCCCTCCACGCCATGCCCTGCCTGCCCTCTGAGAACAGCCCAAAGTGGGCAGACCATCGGGAAGCAGGGCCACGTGGTTAGAGCTCCAATGTGTGAGGATGAGTGGCGGTCCCCGGGGACAGGGAGGCCGGCGGAGGAGGAATAAGTCAGAGGTGGAGAACGAGTTGGGAGCCTCTGACCGGAGGGGGCCCATCGCTCTTCTCTGAGCGCCCTGGGCCCTCTTGAACTTGAGCTTGTCAATCACCTTTCTTTCTCTAGGGTCCCCCGGGCTCCAGGGGCCCCCCTGGGAAAGATGGGGAGCGCGGTGAGAAGGTAAGACGCAGTGTGGTCTCTACCCTCCATGGCGGTTCTCAGCTTTTAAGAGGCAGGAAAGGAGCCCACTCTGCTCAGACCCGCTTCAGGACCTGGGAGGCCAAGGGCTCCTCTGCAGTCGTCTCCTCTAACCCTCACTACAGACACAGGGTCAGATGGGGCCCCGCCTGACAGAGGTGTAGACTGAAGCTCTGTGTCCTGCGACCCGTAGCTGGTGAGCCGCAGAGCCGGTCTGTCTGCCTCCTAAGCCCCTCTTTCTCTCAATTCAGTGCTCCAGCATAGCCACCTCACACTATCACATGTGCAATTAAACCTTCCTGGGCTACAAGAAAGAGCTTTATTCATTAGGAAGCAGAGAGACACAGTGTTCCCCCCCCAAAAACGCCAATACCCTGAGGGCAGAGGGGCAGGCTCCCCGGCCTTTTGGAATCCCAGGTGACAGGTCCTGACCTCGCATTCTCACAGTGTCTCCCATGTTTATTCCGAATTCTGGCATCTTGTGGGTGGAGATGGGGATTCTGAACACCCAGAGGACGGCGCCCCTTCTCAGCGCAGACCGTCCCCTGTGAGCATCAGCAGTGTCAGGGCTGAGGAGCCCGGGTCTCGGCTTGAGTCGAGCCCACATAGACCGCAGGACCACACAGGTGGTGAGAGGAGCCGAGGCGCTGACGTGCGGCACAGAGCAGGTGGTGAGGGGGGAGGGGGGCTTGCTGTCTCAAGCCCCCACTGGAGGCTTCTCATCCAGGGACAGAAATCCCAGTGCCCCACCCCCCCGCCCACCACCCTGCTCCAACTCCTGATGCATCCTCCGCAGCCAACCCCGATCCAGCTCTCCTGTCTCTGAACTTACCAATGCAGATTCCTTCAGGTCCACTTTACCTGGGACCTTTGGAAGGCATGATCATTTTGTCTTTTCTATTTTTTCAAAATGTTGTAATAGGAATAGATACAAACTTTTACAATTTGATGGGAAGGCTCAGTTTTTAAATGCATCCCTCGGAGAAGGATTTGCTATGAAGAAAAATGATTGACCAGCCTGTGGAAAATCTTAAGTGAGGGAGGGAGAAAAAAAAAAAAAAACTGACCCATCTGTTTTGCTTTGATTGTACCACGTGCAAGAGATGGGCCTCTACTCTGCGACACACGGGCACTGACAGCTTAGAAGTTTGTCAAGAGGGTTGGTTAGAAGGGAATGTTGAGGACTAATTGAGCAAAAATGAGAACGTCTGGGGCTTCCCAGGTAGGAGACTCGACTTCGATCCCTGGTTCAGGAGGATGCCCCAGAGGAGTAAATGGCAACCCACTCGAGTACTCTTGCTGGAGAATCCCATAGACAGAGGAACCTGACAGGCTACAGTCCCTGGGATCGCTAAGAGTCATGACTTAAAGACACAAGTTAGGGCTTCCATTATGGCTCAGCTGGTAAAGAATCCGCTTGCAATGTGGGATACCTGGGTTCGATCCCTGGCTTGGGAAGATCCCCTGGAGAAGGAAACAATTACCCACTCCAGTATTCTGGCCTGGAGAATTCCATGGACTATATTGCCCATGGGGTAGCAAAGATTCATACAGGACTGAGCAACTTTCTCTTTCACTATTGACTAAACAGCAACAGCAGTTGGCTCATTCAGCCTCTAGAGGGAGCCAGACACCTCTGCTCTGATGAACAGAAGAATGCATTTGCAAGGGGACTTCCCCTCCGGTGCTGTACAAAGTGGTAGAAATCCCTGACAGTAGGACCTGCTCTTCTCTCTGACTGTCCAGTGGTGGCCTGAGACCTGCAGGAGCTGATCCTGCCCCGTGCCTGGAGAGAGGTCCTCTGCATCCTTTGCTTTGTCCTCCGTGGGACATGGTGCCTCCCTTCACTTCTGCATCAGGAATGTCTGGTGCAGGTTGCAGCTTAGGTCCAAGTGAGCCCTACCCAGAAAGGGACTTCCTGTGGCCCATGTGGTTCCCTCCCCACAGCGTTCCACAGCTGGGGCTGCGTGGGGCTCCTGGCTTGTGGTCAGAAACGGGGAGCAAACTCCAAGCCCAGCTCCCTCCCTCATCAGATCCTGGGTCCCTCTCTCTCACCCCACTTTGGATCCCCAAGCAGTGCTCATGTCACTGAAGGCCTGTCGTGTGAAGAGGAATTGGATTTTGTCTGCATAGCCCCAAGTTTGAAGTCAAACCTCTGGAAGATTTCAGAGAGGACTGTCTTGGCTGAACATAAAGACACAGTGTCAAATGGAACTGCCCAGTAAGGAAATGAACCGCCTGGGGAGGTGGTGAGCTCTGTGCTCTAAAAGGAGTCCAAGCAGAAATGGGGAGGCCTGCCTGGAAGAGGCGCACCTGATGGCTCCCTGCAGTGCGTGGAAGGTGGGACTAGAAAACTAGTGTTCTTCCCACGCTCATGTTCCATGCCGTAGAGAGAGTGTCGCACACTGGGAGCCTCAAACCTCAAGAATGTGCCGTGTCACCATTGTCAGCGTGTTGGGAGGTCCTAAGTCAAGGTGTCAGAAGGGCTGGCTCCTTCCGGGGCAGTGAGGGAAGGGTGTCTTCCAGGCCCCTCTCCTTGGATTACTGATGGCTGCCTTCTCTCCGTGTCTTCACGTGGACTTGCCTCTACACAGGCCTGTGTCCAAACTTCCTTTTCTCGTGAGGACAGCAGTTGTTTTTGGGCTAGGCTCCATGCTACTCTAGTATCAGCACCTCTTAACTAATTATACCTGCAGAGACCCCATTCCTACACTGAAGTGCCGGAGTTAAGGGCTTTGGTGTATGAATTTGGGGCTCACGTTATACGGTTTGTCTTCTGTGCCTTCAGAAGGGGTGGGCTTTCTGAAGCAGTGCGTCACTGGGAAGCCCACCCACACCTTTCAGGTGGTGGTGGTTGTTTAGTCACTAGGTCGTGTCTGACTCTTTTGCAACCCCATGCACCTTGCCAGGCTCCTCTGTCCATGGAATTTTCCAAGCAAGAACACTGGAGTGGGTTGCCATTTCCTACTCTAGGGGATCTTCTTGATCCAGGGATTGAACCCTCCACTCCTGCATTGGCAGACATTTTCGTTACCACCGAGCCGCCAGGGAAGCCCTCCCTTTAAATTGGTTCTCCATTGAAAAACCTACTCTCTGCATCTCGTTGACCCCAGACACTGTCCACTTGTCTTTCCAGGGGGCAGCAGGAGAAGAAGGGAGCCCAGGGCCAGCCGGCCCCAGGGGCGATCCTGGTTCCCCTGGGGTCCCCGGGCCCCCTGGAAGAGGGAAAGATGGAGACCCGGTAAGTGTGAGGGGCTTCAGTGACCATAACGACCAGGCTGGAATTAGAAAAGGAAAAAAGGGTCCGCGGTCAAACTCTGCAATAAAGCAGCCAGGCTGGGAAAAGGGCCCACGTCAGGCCCGCCTGGCACAGGGTCCCTTGCGGACTGCTTTCTGTGGGTCAGGCTCCGGGGACACAGACCTGGGTTAGAGCCTGTGCTGTGGAGATGCTCATGAGACAGCTGAGCAGTCCAATGACCGTAGCTCGGGCATCCTGGAGAAGGGCTTCCCTGATCTGTGTAAGCTGGGGAGGCCTCGCACAGGAAGTGGCATCTATGCAAAAAGTGAAAGTTGGAAGAAATTATTTTTTAGATGGAATAGCACAGAGTGGGTGTTGCTGACATATGATCTGTGTGTGTAAATGCATGAGGGTGTTATGCGCACTGGCACTTACAAACGCTTTAGTGTGTCCTGGACAGAAAGGGGTAAGTAAGAAAGACACCAGACTTTGGGATCAGAAGAGCCCCTACAGTGAAACCTGAAACCTGGCCTCATCCTTGAGGGAATCTGCAAAATAAGGATCTTGCAGGGAGGGATAAGTTAGGAGGTTGGCCTTAACATATACATACTACTATAAAATAGAGTCAACAAGGACCTCCTATAGAGCCCAGCAAACTCTGGTTGTAATAACCTATATGGGAAAATTTGAAAAAGAGTGGATATATGTATATGTAATCCTCCTGCCAACACAGGAGACACGAGAGGTGCAGTTTGACCCCTGGGTTGGGAAGATCCCCTGGAAAGGAAGCGGCACCCCACTCCGGTATTCTTGAGTGGAAAATGCCGTGGACAGAGGAGCCTGGTGGGCCACAGTCCATGGGGTCACAATGAGTAGGACATGACTGAGCACACCGCGCATGTGTATGTATTTAACTGAGTGGCTTTGTGGTACCCTTTAGGCCAACACAGCACTCTGTACCTCAGTGTGTACAGCCTTGTCGTACAGTATACTCCAATATAAAATAAAAGTTAATAAAATGAGATTCACTACCTAAAAACCAAAAAAAAAAAAAAAAAAGCGGGATCTTAAATAAGAAACAAACTAAGAGAGACCTGAGGGGTTTGCTGGAGGTCACACAGAACTGGTAGGCGATAGAGTCAGAATTCACACCCAGGGGTCCTGTGTCCAAAACCAGGTTGTTTTGCTTTGTCCGCAGCAGGTCATGGTGAGAGTCCGTCCTTCTGTGTGTCCCCAGAGCACAGGGTAAACGGGTAGATGCTCACTCGTGGCTCCACGATCATCTTTCTTCCATTCCTTTTCCCAGGGACTTCGTGGCCCACCGGGATTACCAGGACCAATGGGAACCAAGGTGAGTATTAGTCTACCAAACTGTAGATACCTGGGTTGTACTTAGAAAGTGATCATGCCGGATGATCATCTCTGGTCGCCTCTGTCTATTTCCATGTTCATCACTTGTCACCTAACAAAAGCTTCTGTGACTCTGAACCGTGAGATGGGGGTGCCACATAGTTGTTTGTTAATATTCGCAGTTAAGTAAGTTACCAAAGACGCTTTCAACCGGCGAAGGAGTAGATCTTGTCTTGTACTGGGGCCTTCCCTGGTGGCTAAGTGGTAAAGAACCCACCTGTCAATTCAGGAGACCCAAGTTCGATCCCTGGGTTGGGAAGAGCCCCTGGACAAGGAAATGGCAAGCCACTCCAGTATTCTTGCCTGGGAAATTTCATGGACAGACGAGCCTGATGGGTTACGGTCCATGGGGTCACAAAAGAGTCGGACATGACTTAATGACTAAACAATGACAAGTTTTGCATTGTTAGTTTAATTGGGGACACAAAGGGTCCTCGGGTTTCAGATGATTAACATAATAAAAGTTTGTTCCTCATTCATGTTAAGTCTAATGGGAGTTTTGGTGAGTGGAGAGTCCGGACCACACGGCCATTCGGGGACCCACGTTCCTCCAGTCCCATGCACTCGCTTCTGTAAGACTTCAGTGTCTCCTGCTGAGTCCTCTGTATGCAGTGGCAAACAATGGAAAAGATGACGGAGGACCTTGTGGGAAGATTCTGTGGGCCAGGCCCGGAGGTGGTCCGTCATTTCCACCGACCTCCTGACCCTGCCGGGGAGGGGGTCGGTTGTCATCTAGCCAAGCCTCCGAGAGGAAAGGCAGACACTTCAGTCAATAGCAGGTGTCTCTTCTTCAATTTGCTTGTAACCACTACTCAGAAAAGGGGACTTTGCCCATGAGGGAGTATTGGTAAGAGAACTTTCCTGGGTGATGAGGACAGTTTTCTGAAGTTATCCTTATACTGAATCACGGAGTTCATTGAGTCATTCATGCATCCATTAACAGCATGCTTAGTATCTCATTCATGGCGGACCCACTGAGCCTCTGCCGCGTGCCAGATCTGGAGGTGGGCTAGGAAATGTCGGGGATGAGTGGCCCGTATCCCCAGCCCTCTATCGGCTCAGGAGCCGGGGGAGAAGCAGATGACCAAATACTGGGATTGAGGGAGCCTTAGGCACAAGTGCTCAGAGGGGGCTCCTGGTCCAGCCTGCTTTGACTCTGGAAGGCTTCTTGGCGGAGATGATGTTTACCCCGATTCTAAAGTGTGTGTAGCAGCCGAAGGGGAAGACAAGGAAGGAGTTCTCTGCAGGGTCCTAACATGGGAGAAGACTGCGGGTGCATGAGATAGAATGTGTTCAAAGCAGAGTGTGTGTTGTACAGGCATCCACAGCCAGTGAGCGACTACTTGACCAGCTCAGATGCATAAACTTAAGAATGTGGGTGACATAGTGAGGGACATTAGAATGTTTATTTTTTGCTTTAGTTTAACAAATATATTCAAAATCACTTGAAGCATTACTGTACAGTTACCGTATTTTTATCCACTTGCATATATTTTTGAAAACATTTTTAAAATTTCTTTTTATGTGCCTTTGTTGTCACTGGCTGTCTTTCCTGGCCCCACTTCTTGAGTCAGCCAGCACTTTCCTAAACCACATCCCCACCACCCAGCCCGGTTACTGAAGACACAGCACTTTGGGAATCCATTTATGCTGCTGTTACAGGAAGTTTTATCTGAAGGCCCAGATACTCATTCTTTTATTTCTCCCCTTTTATTTTTTAGCTGTGTTTTGGGATCTTGACCACAAAACCACAGAGTATATTGTTTTTATTGTATGTAAAAGTCTTGGTTTGCAGTAGTAACCAGGATATGGAATTTGAGAACTCAGGAGTAGTTGCTGGGGGCTTCCCTTGTGACTCAGCTGGTAAAGAATCGGCCTGCAATGCTGGAGACCTGGGTTCGATCCCTGACTTTTTCCACCCCTCAGGCAGGTGACCTCTGCCGTGGTACTGAGCTTGTACTGATGAAGATCACGTGTGTTCTCCTAATGGTGATTTTGTTGTTCATGATGAAAGGAAAAAGAAATGAGGGAGCTCTTTTGAGTGATCTGAGCAAATATTTGGCAACTCCCTAGTTTCCCTGGTAGCTCAGGCAGTAAAGCATCTGCCTGCCATGTGGGAGGCCCGGGTTCGATCCCTGGGTTGGGAAGATCCCCTGGAGAAGGAAATGGCAACCCACTCCAGTATTGTTGCCTGGAGAATCCCATGGACTGAGGATCCTGGTGGGCTACAGTCCGTGGGGTCGCAAAGAGTCGGACACGACTGAGCAACTTCACTTTCACTTTAGTTTCTGAAGGAAAAAAAAAAGGAAACAACTTTGCCTCAATTTGAGGGCCTGTAAAATAATTCCTTGTGCCCAGAGCACTGGGCGTGTGTGGAGCAGGGAGGCAGGACCAGGGACTGGAGGGCCTCTGGATTCACAGCCAGCTTGGACATGTGTCTGAGGTTCCTGCCTGGTGCCGTGAGCCTGGCATCTGCCCAGCAGCGCTTCTGTGCCCTCAGCTCCCCCTGAGAGGAGGAGTTTCAGGATCTGGGAGAAATCAGTTGCCTCTGAGAAGGCAGGGAGGCAGGAGCACTGCAAAGGGCGCCAGAAACAGGAGATGTGGAAATGGGTAAAGGTGTCCTTTCTCTGGGCTGCTTATTTATGAGGTTGATAAAAATCTACCTCCCAGGCAGAGTTTGGGGAAAAAAATGATGTAATGCAAATAAAGTGTTTGTGTGCCTAGCCTTAAGTTCGCCACAGGTACGTGCCCGATAAATATTAGTGATCCTTATCATAAACCACCCTGTGGAGTCTGCTTTAGGGTTCAGCAGGAAGGTGAGGGGTCTAGAGAGACCTGACTCATCCCTGTCGGCCTGTTGTTGGAGAGAGAAGCCCCGTGGAAGTGCGTGGAGGCGGCAGTGAGGCGTGGAGAAGAGAGGCAGGAGGAGACCCGGGGTGAGATGTGCAGAGGGCCTTGCCCTGGGTACAGTCGACCAGCCAGTTTCAAATCCGTGGGAGCCACAGTAAGCTGTGCTCTCTCTGTTTACATATGAGATGTGTAAACAGAGGGCCCTTTCAGTGTTAATACTGTATACATTTGCAAGGTGGAATGTAGTTTAGAGTAAAGGTTTCCCTAGTCAGCTGGCATTGGGAAGGTAAATTGGAACCAGGGAGATCTTTAGTTGTAGAATGAGGGGCTCGTAGGGGGACAAGGTGGGAGGGAAGGGAGAGACACCCGTGTTCAGCTGTGGGCCTTTCCCGGGTGCTGTCCCTGGTGCTGAAAACCCCTGGGCACTTAAGAGCACCCTACCAGGATTTTCCTTGGTGCTTTCTCAGCCCTTCATAATGATTTACAGCCACAAAAAGACTCTTAAAGATGCTGTTCCTTCTCTTGGGTGGACTCATTTCTAGTGAAATGAACAAGCTTTGCCTTCCGACGGAGCTGGGTTAGGATCCCAGCCCAACTACCTGTAAGACAGATGCATGCATGCTGTCACTTTAGTCCTGACGGAGTCTTTGTGACCCTATGAGCTATAGCCCTCCAGGCTCCTCTCTCCATGGGGTTCTCCAGGCATGAATACTGGAGTGGGTTGCCACGCCCTCTTCCAGGGTATCTTCCCATCCCAGGGAGTGAACTCACATCTCTTATGTCTCTTGCCTTGACAGGCGGGTTCTTTACCACTAGTGCCACATGGGAAGCTCAAGATCTATGACATCAGGGCAAGTGGCTTATTGTTTCTGTTCCTTTTCTGTATGAAGGAGTAAAACGTAGTTAACCCCCAACCGGCTCCCGTGGATAAGTAATCTCACGGCACGTAGTTTTTCAATAAATGACCTCCTCCTTCCATGACCTCCCACATCTCCCTCCATAAACACTGTTGAACTGGCTCAGAGTGTCTTGCAACCAAAACAGATACCACAGTCACTATTACAGATTGGAGCTCACATGCCCCCTTTCTTCTAATCAGTAACCTTCTTGCGTTTTCTGACCAAGCTTTAAGGTCTTTGGCTCTTTTCTCGGAGCCATTTTCTCCGAGTTTCAGTCCATTAAGCTGTTGCTTCGGGGAAGTGTTAGCATCACAGAGGGCCATAAACATACAAATGGAACCAGGCCTGCGCCCCCGCAGCAGAGATCAATCCTGACTCAGATTCTTGGCAGGACTGCCAGAGGTCATTCATCATGTTCCCTCCTGAGCAAAAAGTTGATTTTGGTCAACATCAAAATTTAGTACCTGACAAAATGCGAGTGATGATAGATTCAGTCATTCAGGCATTCACGAATTTGCTGTTAAAGGGCTGTTCCAGGCCCAACACTAGGCATTGTGGATGCAAAAGTGTGTGGATACTGTGCCCGACACAGGGTGTGACTCCATTTAGGTACTTGACAAATATTTGTTGAACTAATGGATGAATGAATCAATGGGTAATTTATTCTTTTAAGATACTTAAATAAAGGTCAGAGGGTCAGATGCAATGGGAGGGTGGTGTGTTAAAGTTAATGACGATACATTCAAATGTCTTCTGAAGGCTGAGAGGCGGGCAGGCAGAGGTGGGTTTAAGGAAATGAAATGATTGAGCTGAGTTTTAATTGGTGGGTAAGTATTTGGAAATAATGGAAATTGTGAGAGACTTTATTTTGGGGGGCTCCAGAATCACTGCAGATGGTTACCGCAGACATGAAATTAAAAGATGCTTGCTCCTTGGAAGAAAAGCTATGACCAACCGAGGCAGCATATTAAAAAGCAGAGACACTACTTTGCCAGCAAAAGTCCATCTAATCAAGGCTATGGTTTTTCCAGTAGTCATGTATAGATGTGAGAGTTGGACTATAAAGAAAGCTGAGCACCTAAGAATTGATGCTTTTGAACTATGGTATTGGAGAAGACTGTTTGAGAGTCCTTTGGACAGCAAGGAGATCCAACCAGTCAATCCTAAAGGAAATCAGTCCTTTGAATATTCATTGGAAGGATTGATGCTGAAGCTGAAACTCCAATATTTTGGCCACCTGATGTGAAGAACTGACTCATTTGAAAAGACCATGATGCTGGGAAAGATTGAAGGCAGGAGGAGAAGGGGACAACAGCGGATGAGATGGTTGGATGGTATCACCAACTCGATGGACATGAATGAGTAAGCCCTCAGAGTTAGTGATGGACAGGGAAGCCTGGCATGCTGCAGTCCATGGCGTCATAGAGTCAGACACGACTGAGTGACTAAATTGAGCTGAAGTGTTTGGAAGCTTAGAACCTGGATGAAAGAAGACCCCCATGCGGGGATCAGCTGGTTCAGAAGCAGGAGCGTGCACAGTTACCTAGAAGAACACACGCTGCATCTTTGGTGTGTTTAGCTACAGTTGTTAGTGTTTTTGCTGTGCATAGTATGCAGCCTTGGGAAGAAGAGAGGAGGCAAGCTAAAACAAAGTACAAGGGAGATGTACGTTAACTTTCAGTCTTAGTTTGTGTATATTTCTGGCTGGGCCAGTCTTCGCTGCGGCGTTCGGGTTTCCTCTGGGTGCAGTGAGTGGGGACCGCTCTTCTGCGGTGCTCAGGCTCCCCCCACGGTGGCCGCCCTGGCTACAGAGCGCAGGCTGTCGGTCCACCGGCTCAGCAGCCCTGAGGCACGCGGAGTCTGCCGGAGCCAGGGATGGAGCCCGTGTCCCCGGTTAACCACTGGGCCACGAGGGAAGTCCCTACATTAACTAGTTTAAAGGAGAACCTGGGGTGCAAAAGAATGTGGATTTTTCTAATATGTATTGTGCTTAGTTTATTTTTTGTCATCTAACTTGGCTGATAAAATATACACCTTTTCACACTCCATGTTATACAGTCTCTCACCTTGTAAATGAGTCTGCAGTAGATATGTGGGGATTTGGTAAAATGTTCTTTTGTTTCCTCATTGATGAGAGTCTTAAGGGTGCCAGAGAGGTTATGGGATTCATCCAAGGTCACAGGACCAGGCTGACGTTGTTCTGTGACCGAACCAAATGTGAGCCAGCTTGCCTGGATGCACAGTGAAGCCAGCCTGCTGCCACGGGGTGAAGGAAAGCAGTGTTTGATGCCTGGAGAGAAGAGAATGGGGAGGCAAGTGAGACTCGAAGCCCTGGCAGCTTTCAGACAGGGTTTAAGAGCAGCATTTAGATGAGGGTCATAGGGTGTGTGATCAGTTGGTAGACATCTTTCTGACCGGTTGGTGGTGAGGCAACAGGGTGATGTCAGAAATCGTAATCATCAACCTTGTGGTTCCAGTCCATCTGGGATCCACATGCTGGTCAGCATCCTCTAATGCGAGGGGGTCTTGGTTTCTGCATGACAGCTCAGAAGTACAAGTCCGATTTTTATGTGTACCCCTGCAGGAGAAACTGGGAGTCCTGTGACTCTGTTTCATTGCTCAGCCACCGTTTAGGTCATCACTGCTTTTCTTGCTTGACTGCTTTTCCTTTGTTTCTGCTCTTCTGTTCTTGCTTCCCCTCTCTTCCGTAATTGGTTACTGCTTGAGTCTGCTCTTTGGGACTTGGGGAGGCCAGACAAGAAGTGAGGACAGGCCGTGGGGGGAGTCACACCCGGGAAGACCCTGCAGAGCCCTGCTCAGTCTCAGTCCTGCCCCCCTTTTCTTTGATCTTCTCTCCTGGGGGGAATGGGCAGGGCAAGAACAGGAGTAGAGTTTTGGATAGAGAGGTTAGTCGTGAACCCACAGGGGAGCGTGGTTTTAAGGGGACCCGGTTTCAGTCCTGAGACTGGACTTGCGGTCACTTGGCGGCCAGTGTGAACTCCTCCGCCTCGTCCTCTCACTGTCCAGTGTGCTGGTGAGGGACCCGACACTGATCGTATCACTCTTAGTTCATTGTGCTTTTTTCCACCTTCGCCTTATTTCTTGACTTCCTCCCCTCCCACCTTCCCCATGCACAGAAATCAGATTTTCTGGCAGTCGTAGGCATCTTGTACTTCCCAGAATCAGCCACATCATTTTATTCTAAATAAACAGGATGCACCATCTGGGGCTCTGAAGAGGATTTCTCGGGGACTGTTTGCAGAGGTGAGGGTGGGCCAGAGAGAGGCTGTGGTCCTCAGGACACGTGGCCACCGCGGACCTGCAGGGAGGAGGGGCAGAGACAGTGTCACCAGGGTTTAGGGAGAGTTCAGACTGTGGTTCATCTCTTTCCTGAGAACTTGGCAAACCTGTTTAGATCTCTCTCCTGAATTTAGCACAGAGCACTGGAAATGGGCAGGGCCCCTGAATGAGTGATCTTTGGTCGTGGAGCCAGATTGCAGTTTGCTGTGAATAAACAACCAGCATTTGTTGAATGAATATATAACTTACAAACTCGTGCAAGCAACAGTCATGCTGTGGGAAAAACAAATCATCTTGAAGCATTATTTTTCTAAAAGGTCCAGATGTAAAGTTTTCAAGTTGAGATGGTGGTTGCAGGGTAAGCCAGTTATTAATAGGATTTTCATTTAATGCTTAAAAACATAAGCCTTGATAAAGCAGTGTTGCCTAGCAATGTCAGGTTCTACCTGAAATAAATTTGCTGCACGTTATCTAATTGACTCTTCATGAAGACCTCCTAAGGCTACTTCCATTTGTCATATAAATTAAGTCACCCTGGAGATGGTAAGTGGCTTGACTAGGGTTACCCCCCATTTCAGTATTAGGCTTGGCTGCCATCTGCTGACCTAATATTGGGGTACAGTTTCTTACGCAAAGTTGTGTGGGTCCTGTGTGCTTTGGATTGAGTTTATTTTGGAATTAGAAAAGTAGTAATTTACAAGTGATACAAACAGCATTTACTGTGGTATGTGGGGCAAAATTCCTCATCAAACTCATTACAATGATGCCATAGAAGTGTGTAAACATCCACAAATCTAAAGATTGTAATTAGCCTTCGAGTCAGTACAAGTCAGCTTTTGCTGCCCGATGAGTTAGGGTAAATACTTGTTTTCAGAGGTCGGGAATTTTGAAATTGTGAATATGAAGGTATGACCGTCTCAGTGTCCTTCTACAGAAAGTAGCAAGCGGAATTCCTCCCCTGCTGTCCTTCCCTTCTCTGTTCCCGCGTCCGATCAAAGCCCAGAGCGATGGGCACCTGAGAGCAGCAACAACCACAGCAGCTAACGCTCAGTGACTGCCACGCCAGGCCCTCTGTCTGCGCGATCTCCGGACCCACGTGGCCGCTGTTGGCGGCAGCTCCTGGCATAACCTGGCCTTCGTAAATGAAGGAACTTGTTGCCCTCTGAAGCCAGCAGTCACCAAGTGTGAAGCCAGAGTGTAAACCCACACTCTATTAACCATCATGCTTGAAGGCAGAGATTATATCTGTCATTCTTGCCCCTTGCAACCCCTGGAAAAGTAACCCACAAAATATAGGTACTTGGCACGTTATTGGTCAAATTATGAAATCATTTATTGATGATGTGGAAACTGGGTTGAAATGTGGATACATGGTCAGATCTGGGGTGAATTCAGGATGGGGGCAGGAGAAACGTGGAAAAGGCATGGTAAAACTTGGAATTATGGTCACCTGTGGCGGGGGTCACATTGTTATAATCACATCTGGAGCCATGGGCAACACTGGTGGTCACGGTTGGTGCCGGTGGTCCAGGCGTGTTGGACTGAGTGTGGTGAGGGGCAGCTTGGATGAACTCGAGTGGGCGTGCAGAGTGGGTTGTGGGAGAGATGCTGGCTGGGGGGTGTGGTCCAGATCGGGGGAGGAACGGAATAGTCCTGCACCTTTGCTCTCCCCCGCCCAGAGCTGACATCCTGACTGTGTTGTTTTCTCTTTTCAGGGGGACCGCGGTGCGCCTGGGATCCCCGGCCCTCCTGGCAACCGTGGAGAGCCAGGCGTGGCGGTTGCCGGCCCTCCGGTGAGTCTTTACCCACCCAGCACCTCCTCGCTCCAGGACACCCAGCTGGGGCCTGCTGCAACGGCCGGGCCGCTCCTTTCCGGGCCCATCTGGTGGTGGGTCACTGATCCCTGGGTCAGTCAGGCTGTAGGTCTGTCCACTGTAGCTGATGCTGTTAAAAACTTGGTGTATTTCTTACGGGAAGAAGGCTTCTGGGGAGACCAAGACGTGTCCTTTCAAAGAGGAGTGAAAGAACAAAGCTTATAAAAAAAGAAAAGGGGGAAAGAAAGGACTCACTGGTAAGACTTTGCAAAGACTGAGTGATAGTCAGTGAGCTTGGGCTGGTTGGGGGAGGGGTGTGGTCTTGGAGGAGTGACTTGCCTTCATGCTTTTTCAGGCAAAGGTGAGTTCATCATCCCTCTTCAATTAATATATCAGCAAGGACATAAATGGAATCAAGAAAGGTTTTTTTTTTTAAATAATTTTATTTTATTTATTTGTTTCTGGCTTTGCTGGGTCTTCATCGCCATGAGGGCTTTTCTCTAGTTCCGGCAAGTGAGGGCTACTGCATAGTTGGGATGCTCAGGCCTCTCCTCGCGGCGGCTTCTCTTGGTGCGGAGCACACAGGCTGTAGGGCAAGCAGCCTTCGGTAGTTGTGGCAGTACGTTCAGTAGTTGCAGCTCCCAGGCTCTAGAGCACAGGCTCAGTCATTGTGGGCCATGGGCTTAGTTACTATGGGACACGTGAGATCTTCCCAGTTCAGGGATTGAACCCATGTCTCCTGCATTGGCACGTAAAGGCTCAGATTCTTTACCACTGAGCCACCAGGGAAGCCCCCAAGAAAGGATTTTACCTGCAAATAAAATCTATGAAGTGGTCTTTGGATTGGTGGTTTTGGTGGATAATTCACAGCAGTCTACTAGGAAGCTCCAATACTCAGTCGTTTTCTGATACGGTTGCTAAGCCTCATCGAATCCAAACTGCCTATGTATCAATGGATGATATTGTTGTCATCGTCATCATCTTAACCCAGAAGCACAATCAGACTTTACCCCCATTAAACGTAATCTGAATATAAACTGGAGCAACGCTTGACCTGGTCTCTGCTCGGTTCCTCATTCAAGAAACAAAGTCACACTGTGCCTCATTTGTCTCAGAGGATTTGAGAGGAAGCCCAGTGTATTATAGTGTGTGTGTTCAGCCATAAGTCGTGTCCGACTCTGCCACCCCGTGGGCTTTCTCTGGATTTCCCAGGCAAGAATACCGGAATGGGTTGCCATTTCCTTCTCCGGGGTTATCTTCCCGACCCAGAGATCGAACCCATGTCTCCTGCTTCTCCTGCATTGGCTGGTGGGTTCTTTACCACTGAGCCACCTGGAAGCGCCATCGCCCTCAGCACCACTTGTTAAGTAAACCTCCTCTCCTTGTCCCAGTGCTGCTCCTACGCCCTCTCACTCTCTCCCTGAAACTCCCCCCAGAACCCTCATCTGTGTCCTCTTCCTCCCGGAAATGACTGGAAATGACACCCTTACTTCCAGTCCACCCCCAGCAACAGGGCTGCCTTCAAGGTGGGAAGACCTGTGCCCTTGCATCTTCCTAAAGGTCCCTGGGAAACAGGGAGAAGGCAGGTGATATCCTCTTGGAAATGCCCAGATGTAATCTGTTTTTCTTAATTTCTCTGCTAAAATTGCTGATGGAAAAAACACCTCTATTGCATCAGCTTTATCTTTCGTCTTTGGCTGTCTTTTACAATCTGTTGGTAACTAGAAGAAACAATATGGGAAAAGGTGTAGTGAAAAAATACAGCAGGCTCAGGCTTTCTTTTTGTTTCTGAAATCCTGCTTTTAACGGGGCCTTCTCTGCTGGAGTCAGGATTCTGAGTCCTGCAGGCGTTAGCCACTTAGAATAGAAACTGACCTGGAGTGGCCTGCCATCATTTCACGGGTCTCTGCATGTCCTGTCCACTCCCTGGGACTCACCGTAGGAAAACCTTAACCAGAAAGCCAGGCAGCAGGGGAGGACACTTGCCTCCCCACCTCCCACGTCAGAGCCATGAAATCACCCCTGAAATACGTCCCCACCCAAGCGATTCCACCTGAAAAGGAATTGGCTGCCTCCAGCCGAGAGACCACGAGTCAGTCCTTCCTCCACTTCCACTGATTAAAAGCTTCCGTAGTGGGTGAGACCTTATAGCGCTTCCATAAATCCTGTCTTTGGCTGCTGGCCCGGGCTCCTTCCTGGTGGCCGGGCCGTCCGTGTGAGGGTTCAGGGGGGTGCGGAGGCGGGGCGGGCTGATGACAGGGTGTGAGTGCACCCCTCACACCCCCAGGCTCGGCAGCCCCCTGCCACGGGCTGAGTGGTCTGTGTCTGGTGCTGGGTCCAGAGTATCCACGTCCTCAGCCTTTCCGTCCTGTGAAAGCTGGTTTATCCTTTGTTGAAGGCTGGGCTTCTGCATTAGCATCTCCTGAGATCAGGGTTCAAGGGCTGCGGATTTATTGGGGGAATTATCTCAGAAATCACCCCTTGGGGAGTGCCATCCTCCCCTGACAAGGCCCTGGAGACGACAGGGGGCAGCTGCAGAGGTGTTCTACAAAAGTCGGGGCAGAGCCAGGGTCGACTCCTGGTGGGCGTCAGTGAAGGGCTGCTGGGGGTGGGTGGGGGCTGGTACTTGGGCCAAGCATCCCCCTGCAGGTACAGATGCCCCAGGGCAGGCACCTCAGCCAGGACCTGCCAGGTGGGTGCATGCCCAGAGGTCCTGGAGCGGGTCACTGACGATGTCTAGGGCTTCCCTGGTGGCTCAGTGGTAAAGAATCCTCCTGCAATGTAGGATGACGCAGGCTCGATCCCTGGGTCGGGAAGATCCCCTGGAGGAGGAAATGGCAACCCACTCCAGGTTTCTTGCCTGGGAACTCCCACGGACAGAGGAGCCTGGTGGGCTACAGTCCATGGGGCCGCAGAGAGTCAGGCACCACCAAGTGATCACACTCGCCCTGAGAGTGTCTGCTTCTTCAGTGTTCTCCAGGTAAACAGTCTGAGGTTCAGAAGGGGAGGTGGCTTGGCTGACGGCACACAGCTGGTCCAGGGCCAGGGCCATCGCTTTCGGTCCTCCGAAGCCAGCTCTCTTACTCTGCTCCACTGGCCTGTGGCTTCCCCAGCGTGGGTGGGACTGCTCCTTTCCATCCCCTCCTCCAGTTAAGGCTGGATTCCGCTGGTCCAGCCTCCTGTGGCTCTGTGCTCCAAGGCTTGGGCAGCCAGGCGCAGCACTTACCCCTGGAAGGGAGCCCGTGGCTTTCTCTGCCAACCTCTGCACATCATCGGGCAGGGGAGTGGATGGAGAGAGAGTTGTTTGGCGTTCTACTTCTCCCTTCAAGACATTAACAAAACATCCCTTTTATCTTAAGCTTGCCTCTGATATTCCTTAGTGGGGTCTGATAAGCTTAAAAATGACCCAGTTAGGCCTGAGGGCAGATCAGAGTGCTGTTGATCTTCACTGAGCCTCTGGGCCTGAGGTCAGCGAGGGCAGGCCTCCCCCAGCAGCCTGCACTCCAGGACCCCGGCCTGAGCAGTAGTTTGTAGATCAAGTGTGTAGGGAGGGTTGCAGCGCAGTCATGTTGGTAGTGACACCTGGAAGCTTGCCTTGAACCTTTAAATGCTATAAAACTCCTCCCCTGACATCTTTCTCAGTCTCCATTGCCTGGAATCGCCTCTCCTTTCTCTCTTCAACGTTCCCTCTCTGGAGTCACTTGTTCCGACTTTGCTCAGGCACTGAGGGTTCACATACAAAGAAAAAGAGCTCACAGCCCTTTGTAGACCTACAGACAGAGAGCGAGAGGAAGCATGGCGCTGATGGTGTGTGAAAGCATCTGTCAGGGGTCCTGAGTGGAGCCGTTCTTTTCCCCACTTCCCCTCTTCCAGGGAGTAATACAGCAAGACTAGAAATGAAAGCCACTAAAAGCTGGAGCGGTCATGACCGCAGCTCATATGGCCTGCCCACTTGCAGCGTCCAGCTCTGAGCAAGATACCCACACCCATCCCCTCACTTATCTCATGAACGTCCTCTCATCCAGTCCTCCCAGCCACCCTGCCAAGCAGATCCTGTTCTCTCTTTATTTTACAAATTAGGGAATCCATGTAAGAGATGTGACCCTTGCCTGAAGTCACAGTTAGGATGTCGGGGAGCTAGGATTGGACCCCAACGTCCTAGCTCCAAGCAGATGCCCTTAGCTGCTCTCCAAGCCAGGGCAGCAATAGAGCAGGGATTCGCGTTTACGTAGTCCTTCCTTGTGCCAGACTTGCCAGGCGGTGCTAGTGGTAAAGAACCCACCTGCCAAGGCAGGAGTCTCAGGAGATGCGGGTTCGATCCCTGGGCTGGGAAGATCCCCTGGAGGAGTAAATGGCAACCCACTCCAGTATCCTTGCTTGGAAAATCCCATGGACAGAGGAGCCTGGCAGGCTACAGTCCATGGGGTCGCAGAGAGCTGGACACGACTGAGTGACCGAGAACACACTTTCCTCTTGCCAGGGTCGTCTCACATTCTTTACTGCTTTTGACCTACTGACTTGCAAGTCTCACTGTTGTTTCTGTTCGTATGTCTTGTCCCTGGATTTAGTCCAGTTCCTTTGTCTCTAAGAACCACACCACTGCTCCTACTGACCCCAGGTCAGGCTGGCCTATTGCCCTTCTAAAGGAGTGTGTGCAGACAGTAGCCCCATCTTGCCCGGCTGCTACTTGGGGACCCCAGGCATTTCTGGGCAGTCACCCCAAGGACTTAGGACAGGTGCTGCAGCTTCATTCATTCCCGGTTCTCTCCTGTTCTGTGCTCAGTGCGAGGTCCCCTGGGCTGCAGAGGAGGAGCTGTCACCGCCCCGGACCCCAGAGCACGTGCTATGTCATCCAGTCGTGTCCGACTCTTTGTGACCCTGTGGACTATAGCCTTCCAGGCTCCATGGCAGTCTGCAAGCAAGAATTACTGGAGTCGGGTGCCAGGCCCTCCTCCAGGGGATCTTCCTGACCCAGGGAT